GAGACGAATACCGGTGAAGTTTATCGAGGAAAATTAATTGAAGCTGAGGACAACATGAATTGTCAGATGCAGGGAATTACGGTGACATACCGGGATGGAAGGGTTGCACAGTTGGAGAATGTGTACATTCGAGGATCGAAAATCAGGTTTCTCATACTGCCTGATATGCTGAAAAATGCTCCGATGTTTAAGAGACCTGGGGGGAAGGGCTCCGGTACTGCTGGAAGAGGAAAGTCCGCAATACTTCGGGCACAAGGTGATTATTTGAATTAAAATTGGTTCAAGGTTAATACCTCGATTTATCTGTTCAACGGGCATTTCAGGAATATCTTCGAAAGTAAGGAAAAAAGGAGATTTTTTATAATGACTTTAATTGGGGATCTCAATGAACTCTACAAAAAAGGTCATCACGAAAATTTCCTTATCTCTCTTAGATTTCGAGATTTTCGTTGAAAACTCACGATTGATTTTTGTGGGATTTTTAAAAAAATTTCATGGCGATATTCATTTTTAAATTTCCGTTTTAGAAAATTGTCATTGAGAATGAATTTTTATTTTGCAGCAAGAGGACGAGGAAGAGGGCAAAATCAAAGAGGCAGAGGGACAGGCTCAGCTCCTTGGCTTAATCAACAGAATCAACCTGGTGGATCGGCTCCTGGCAGAGGAAGGGGCTAAATTCAATTCCTACTGTAATAAGAACTCTAGGTTTAAGAATTTTCATACCTTATATTTTCTCATTGCGGAGCTTCTGGATGATTCATTATCGAACTTATTCTATTTGCATTTGAAGTGTGGGGAGAATTCCCTTGTATGAAATGATTGTATGAGAAATAAATAACGAAATAAGAACTCATCACAATACGAAATTCATTTCCTGCTTGAGTCCAATTATTCAGGAACGTGAAAAAAAAATATTAACACGAATTTTCTAAAATGGAATTACAGATTTCATTTTTGTAGTTCGATTTTCAAATGATCTCGAATCACTGTACCTCGGTTCCTCAATTTCGCAGTATATCCTACATAGATGGCTCTGGTCTAACTCTCATTTAGAAATTTAATGACAAAAATCGTAGAGAAGTGATCAATAGTTTATCAGTGAAGGAATCCAAGTCCACAATATTCAATCAATTACATTTTAAATATATCAGATTAATTTATTACCCAAAATTTTAAGTCACGTGTTGTCCTCTCGCTGAAACTCCGGAAATTCTGCCTCAAGTCCCATCTTCTTCGAGAGAACCTCTTTAGTCTATGCTCTGAACCCATGTGGACTGTTTTGATGGATTATTCTGGCCCTGAAGTAATAAATACTGCTAATTTACTGCGAATCGTCATGAATTTATGACCTGAAAATAATATGCACCGAGTAGTGGCCAAAAGAATTTTTCTGAAAATTAAATTGACACATGACAACTGCCACTGCCTGAGAATGTATTCGAATTTCATACCCTGGAAGAACTCCCTCACGGGATACTACTCGACTGATTTCAGAATTTATAAACAATTAGTGGCGGAAAAATTAGGAGTCGATCGAGAACATGCAGCGATGCTCCTAAGGAGTAATAGGCGGGTAATTGGAATTCCTGAGGAAAGAATTACAAAAAATTGTCACATCTGTCAGGTAAATATTCAGTTTTTGATCGATGGACCTCTTCTCCGAACGTTTTATTAAGCGTCTATTTACTGAGATAATTATTGACTTTCGGGGGAATATCACGAGCTTTCGAGATAAATCGGTAATTAAGACATTTTGTTTCTGAATTTTTATCTCGTGAATAAAAAAATTTTTGGAGAACGTAGAGCACATGTTTATTTTGTTTCATTCATAATAAATGATGTTGATTTTACACAGGTGGAGGAGGTGGACTTTAATACCAGTATTCGTGATATCAAGTTCCTCGAGTTGAGTGAGGAGGATTTAATAAATAGAATTTTACTGCTAAAAGAAATGGGCGCACAGTACATTAATACTGCGATGTTGAGAACGTAAGAATGAGAATCAATCGAGAGTATTCACTCAATTTCCTTCACCAGGAGCCTCAAAATATAATTTTTTATTTACAAAAAGATCATCTAAAAAATATTCCAGATGTGCGTCGAGAGTGCACGTAGTTTCGTTCAAAGCATATACTAAAATCCCAAATGACGACATAATCGCCAAAAATATGTATTCCCACCTGCACGAGCCTCCACCAGGAGTCCCTCCCCTCAGCGATCTGAATGACTACATGACAGTCAAAGAATACCGAAAACGCTGTTTGCTGCACTGGCTAAAGTGGAGATTGGAGATACCAGACGACAACGAAAAATTGCTGGAGACTTTTTTCAAGAGGTTGAGGTACAAAAGTTTCGCCAGACTGCGAAAATCCTTTGATATTCTCCACGAAGAGCTGGGAATGCCTGTATCACTGGTAAATATTCCCGAATTTCGTGAGGAATTAACTCCGCCAATCTGCAATTACAAATTACGAATGAGTTATGAATTCAAGTCTTTTATAATTTCCAGATCCGAGAGAAAAAGTGTCTCTCATACGTATCAGGAGTGGATTTGCAGAAAATATTAACCCACTTGCCAGATATCTGCGGAGTTTCCGTGAAGGAGTTGTTGAAAAATAATCTGCCCCTCCTCAGGATGACTTACAAGAGCTTGTGCCTAGCCAAGTTCGCTCTCGAGGACTTCGGGGTAACGTCAGAGCAACTGCTGGAGACACCCAAAGTACTTCTGGTGAATTCGGACTCTCTCGAGGTTGGTTTAGAAACGATATCAGCCACACCGGAACTTAAAATATTAATTGATCATCCACGCTTACTTCGAATTCTTCTGACAAAGGATGGAGTGCAAAGGCGATTGGATTACCTCAGGTATTTGAGTATCAATCATGTGACGGTGGCAGCTTTAGGAAGAACAAAGGTCGAGTTTGATAAGTATCTGAAGTCCGGAACATATAAGGCAAAGGGGGATGAGATAGGATTGATGCTGAAGAAGTATTTCAAGAAGAGCGTCGCGGAAATTCAGGAGAAAATCGAGATGCATCCACTGTGGAAATATGTGGATTTATTCACGATACATACTACACTTCACTACCTGATGGAGTCTTTCGATGCTGAGGATATTTTTAAGAATTTACCTTTAATTCTTCATTCACGGTGAGATTTTTATTTAATTCCTCCCTCGAACATCAATAATTTTTATGGATTTTAATTTGTTTAAATTATGGAAATAATTTTAAATATGGAATAAATAATTCTCAGAAATAATGAGAATGCCGATATTCACGTGCGCATATCGAAAAAAATTATTTTCGAATTGAATTAATTTTTTTTTTCTCATCAATTTGGGATCGAAAAAATCTAATGAATCATTCAGAATACCGAAAATGCTTGGGGCATTTGGCATTATGGGGGTGAGAAGAGGTAGTCGAGGCGCCAGATTGTGGGAATCTACTCTCCAATTTGACATTAAATAGCCCGCATGACTCCACGTGACGTATGACTAATAGCATTTCACATATTTTCAGGGATAAAGTGGAGTTTCGACTGGTGAGTCTCATAGAAATGAATAAACAGATCAACGAAAATAATCGATTCACCCCTAGCCAAATACTCGCCCTGTGCGCTTACGAAATTGAAAAAGAATTTCACTTCACTGGTGACGGCGTCTGGGAAAAAAATAAAATATTGACGAAGAGTCCTGAGGCATTGCCTAATGAAACTGAGGAGTGGAAAGTATCAAAAAAAATATCTGTTGAATGATGTAAATATTTTGTTATTTATTAATACAAATAAAACTCAAAGACTGCCGTAATATAAATCTATCAATAAACCACACATGTCAGACAAAATATTCAACGTAAGCACTTAAATTTAAGCGACGATATGAGCGCTAGAGGAAGTGGGGTAAAATGGGTGCTAGATAATTTTTCATTATGAATAATTAAATAAAATAATTAAATCTCGGTAATTATCGGATTCTGAAAAAAACACAAGAGGACTTTTTTGCAGATTCATAAATTTCGGAGAAGAAAGGTCTTTTGGTATTTTCTTTTAAAATCAATAGTTTTCAAATAAATCGGTCGATAATAAAATTGTAAAATTCCAATAATCGAAAATTCGTATCGAGCAATTTTTTATTTTGCAATTAACTGGCCTGAGCTCAATTAATCAATTAATTAATAATTAATAATGCTTGATGGCCCATTTTCCCCTTTCTCCGTTGATTCCTGTATGTGAATGGGAATGCGAAAAACTCAAAATCATTTTACGGGAAGAGAATAGAGTAGGCATGGAATTCTTTCTTTGGTCTGTCAGGAAGAACTAGAATTAGTCAGATAAATCTAAATTTGATGGCTCAATAATTTTGAAATGGGGAATAATCTTAATCTAACGCTTAGCAAACGACGATGAAAAGTCTAGGGCGTTCGCTGTGAATTATTCACTCGGAAATAGAACTCCGACTGCTCGATGTTCAAATGAATTTCCAATAGATAATTTATCTAGAATCTTTTATAAAATTTAATACATTTTCTCGGAAATATTGAGGAGGTAACAACAGTAACGATGAGACTTAGAATAATTATCGATTGAAAATTCTCTGTATTTTTCTGAAAAAATTGCATTTCTCGGGGAATTTTCTCGCATTTCGTATCGTCCACTGGCGAGACTGGCGGACGTATTGAAAAATTTTCCACGCGAAATTTTCTATTTGAACAGAAAAAAAAATCAACAAATGAAAATGAAAAATCGAATAAAACTCGCCAAAACCGATCCCTAGAGCTGTAAGGCACATGATACTCCAGTGTGAACCCCGCGCCTGAGGGTTCGTGTTAATTCAAAAAAGGCGGTAGCTGAACATAATTCTGTGCGGATCCCTCGCTCTTCACCATGACCTCGTTCTTGATATTACGAGCACTGGAGGGTGGTGAATGCATTCCATACTCCTGCTTAATATGAGTGTTCTCAGGCTGATGTGAATAATCCTGGTCATGATGATACTTATCATTGGGACTGAGTCCAGCAACATAATCCAATTTATTCTGATGCTCATCCTCCGAGAGTGAATTGCTTCCAGGTGCACTGAGATGATTCGAGTGCTGAGGTGAATGAGCAGATACCATACTCTGATAATCAGCTCGTGTGAGAGTCGATGGTGGTGGGCTGTTGTTTGCTGCTGTCATGTAGTCCTGGTGAACGCGCATTGAGTTGCCACTGGGTGTTGTGAAGAGGGTGGCGTCATGTTGTGGCAACATCGTAGCATAAGAATAAGCCGATCCATTATTACTTGGACCAGCGAATGATCCGGAATAGGGAGAGCTCGAGGGACTCAAGAGATTCATGTGAGGCGCTAAATCGTAAGCTGGGGAATATGCCCAGGCGTCTGGTGGTGTTGCTGTTGCTACACTCGTGCTCGAGGCGAAGGGGTTCAGGCTGTTGTTCAGGGATGTGAAGGAACCGGAGAGACCACCGCTACCACCACCTGTTGTCATGTAACCCGCGGTTTTTCGGGGTGGCTCACGCTTCCGCCACTTTGCTCGACGATTTTGAAACCACACCTGCACACGAGACTCGGAGAGCTGCAGCTTCAGGGCTAGCTCTTCACGAGCAAATACATCGGGATATGGGGCACGCTCAAATGCACGTTCCAGCTCCTCCAGTTGGTAGGCTGTGAAGGTTGTTCTGTAATTCAAAGATTTTATACTGCTTTAATTTTTATTATAACCCCGTACGCCACTCAGGTCCCCTTAACTCCTTTTCAATTTATCATTAATTTTTTTATTGTATTTTAATTGTTATTGTAATTTTATTTTATTTTATTTTATCGTCCGATAATTTTTTTGACTTTTCAAAAATTCAGAAGATTTTCAAAATGAAGTAACACTCGTTCATTTTTTCGTTCTGATGAATTTTGTATCGAGATGATAGCTCACCGTGTCTTCTTCTTCTTGATCCCATCGTTATTCGATTTCTTCTTCGAGTCCTTTTTCGTTGGCTGCGTCTCGTTTGCAACTGCAAGAATTCAATAAATAAATCATGATAGCAAATAGCGAGCCTAAAGTCTCCTCATATGTCACGGCTATTAATTTCAATTTAATGCGTACACGAACGGAGGAGTGGGGGTTTGAACTTCGCATTCAATATCCAACGTGAAACAGAAAGATTTTAATTGAATTCCTCTTAAAAAAAATTCTTGAATGACTAGATTCATAATTATTAATTTTTTAATTGGTCCTATAGATTAAACAATAGATAAATAATAGGATAAAAATATAAATAAACGTATGTTGAAGAAATAGATGAAGTACCTTGTACTATAGAATTGATATTATCGTCTCCTTTTCTCTTGATGCCACCCCCGATCTGGATGGTCTGGTGGAGAGCAGTGGAGGTCGGAGTGATAGAGCTGGTGGTAGAAATGGTGACATCCCCCTGAGCCAGAGGTGCATACATCCCAGCAAGCTCCAATTCCTTGAGCTCCTTACTCTGCTGTCCCTGCCCCTGAAGATGATGTCCCTGATGATGAGGCGGTGACTCCTCAGCGGCATCCAATTTATGAAGATGACCCCCAGGTGGAATAAGATCACTAGCATGATGTGCCCCATGAAGTCCAAGCATCACCTGAATGCTGTGCACACCACTTCCACTACGTCCCCCAAAATCAGAAAATATTGGATCATCGAAGGGTGTTCCATCCATCGTAAATTCGTTAAAATTTCCAAGGAATTCCTCAGTCAAATAATCCCTCGGATAATCCAGAAGCAACGATTGCCCGGAATAATCGACAAGGTTCATGAAGACTAATCACAATCACTCCTCAACCAATCAGCTCCCATAAACCCAATAAAAAATAATAAAAAATAATGAAAGGCCTCAGATCATCACAAATTGATAAATGTAATACACCGCGGTGTCTCTTGTTTGTTGCAATTCACGAATAAGTGTTAATGGAATCTCAACCAATTACTATAAATTGTTGGGCCGGTTATGATTAATTTCGACTTGTTCAAGCCGAGTTAACAAAGTGAACTAGTTGTGACGGACCTTGGTGAACGACTGGGTATCTAACACACGTTTATATTTAAAGGGATGAGATGATAGCACCGCCCACGGGCTATTCAACCGCGAGAGCCAATCGCTGGGCATCCAACCCAACACAAACATTATAATCATCCAACGAGAGAACTCTCATCTACCCTCACACATACCGTCACTCCCTACCGCACTTTTCCTCTCCTTTTCATCTTCTCATTGTCATCCAAAGATTCCATTTTTCACTTTTTATCGTTTTCCTCATTCAGGATTATGCATTAAATTCATTATTTATTTCATTAATGATATTTTACAATTTTACAAGTGTCCAAATAAATATATTATTATTTGGAATAAATATTTTATTAGTTGGGATCATTGTTCATTATAAAGGTATAAAAAATATCCAGCGATGAAGATGTGAAATAAAGATTGTAAGTATAAAATTATTTAGTCATCACGTGCTCCTCCATTCTCTAATGCTGAAGAAGAATTCAGAAGTGTAAAGCCTCCAAATATATTTTCACCTGTTGCCATTTAAAAAACGTCAAAAAAAAAATTCTAAAAAAGCCTGACGAATCCACATGAATGGACGTCCAGCCTGAAACTGATGCCCGTCGACTGTGACCATCGCCGAGAGCTCAATGAATGCCAACAATCGCCAGGAATTGCCTGGAATTGGTTCAATAAAACTACCCCCATTCCAATTCTGCATTCGCCTATGAATGCGCGTACGAGTAATTCAACGTGGCGTTAATTACCAAGCACGTGGTAACGGTGAAGAATCGAAAGATGAAGCAAATGCCGGATTGTCCACCGAGAATAATTAATTGATTGTTGATTCCACCCATATGTTTACACTGGTCAACAACATTGGACAGGACAACTGTTAACTCGGCTAAATGACTTTAACTCGATGTGATTTTGCCGGCGAATCACTAAATTGAACGAATACGAACTAAACTGAACTCAACTAAGCTAATCATATCACATTACTGGGCGTTATTAGCCGAGGCACGATATAAGTGAAGGTTCGGTGATGCCAGAGCTGCAGTACCGGGTGGGTCGCCTCCTGCACTGACCCGTCTCCCTTCGGTATCGCATTAAAAAAAAAATTTTTAACCCCTTGTCTAGCCTATCCACCCTTATCCACCCTACTACCCTTATCTACCCTATCCACCCTATCCACCCTATGCCACCTCCTCAAGTAATCTCGTTTCCACGAATTCCTGAAAAAATTACCAGAAGTACCAAAAAATCTCTCGCCTGATCAATGATAATTCATCAGTTTCGTTGATCACCTGGTGTTCATTCACTGCTGACGACTGGTGATTCGGTTGGATGCTGTGGTTTTGTGGTTTAAGGGAGTTTATGGAATTCTTCGCGTGGAGATGTGGTTGTTCTGATTGTGGATAGATAATGCTGTGCTACGGTTTGTTTAAATGTGCGCGCCAGTTTTCTCCCACTTTGGAGATCCCATTGGTCAGGGGAGGCGTACCTGACTCCTCCTTCTCAACCCCTTCTTTCGGTACTTCAATCCTGGGAAAAATGTATATGGTAATTGGTTTGTGGTCGGGTTATGGGATGGATTGCGTTTTTTTGGAGATGATTTTAGGGGATGCGTTGTTTCCGGTATCGATTATTTTTTCGATTTGTCGAATTGTGGAATTATTTCGGATTACTGTGATTGCGGGGATTGTGTGGATATCGCGAATTTTTTTGCACAATTTATTGGCGATTCAATTTTTGAAAATGAATTTTGAAACGAAGGGGTGAAGTCGACTTGTTTTACTCTCGATTTTCCAGGCGTATCTTCGAAAATAATAAAAATAGCAAAATTCACTCGGGACATTTTTTGGAGAGGGGATTCAGAGCTGAATAAAAAATCTTAACGAAAATTCCGCTAATTCTCTTCGTTTCGGAGAAATTCCGAAAAAATCAATTGAAAATTGGTCATGAAAAAGATGTGCAAATTGAAAAAAAAATTGGAAATTAATTGAAAATCGTAGAAAACCCAAATTATAATGATAAATGAATCAAAATTGAAATAATCCATGAAAGGTGGATATATTTCATATTAATAACAATTTCTGGGCGAAAGGCAATTTTTTTTATCGATATTTTAATATTTTTTGTAAATTCATCGGTGGACGGAGTCTCTCTCGAAAAATTTCTCCCCGAGAAATTTCCTCGTAGGAAATTTTCCTGACAAATAATTTCCCCTCAGAAATTCCGCATCTATTATTTTTTTTTATTCCCTCCAGCGACTCTCTACATAATAATTATGATTGTCTATATTATTAATTATATAAAATAAATACTCCAATTATTCCAATCCAATAATTCAATTACTCCAAATTTATTTATATTTCGGTTTTTTTACGGATTTGGGGGAGAGGGAAATTTTCTGAGGAACTTTTTGAAGGGGCCGAATCGAGGGAATTCGAATCATGAATTTTTATTCTGATAATTTTCAAAAAAAGTGTCTTGCAACTTGACCCAAGGGTTCAACGTTCACGTCATATCCGTCGTGACGACTGCGTGTGCGATGTTACAATGAAAAAAATGGAATGGTTGTTTTTTTCCACGTCCACGCAGTTTACAGAGGGACTTCCGAGCTTGCCGGTCAATTCAGCGAGTTAAGACCAATTGATCTAAATTGTTTCAATTGGGTATAATTGCCTGACGACGACGGGAGACGATGGGATGCCTGCGTCGCAGCCATTCGAAGCCTCAACATGTACCTGTTTTATTCCATTTCAGACTAGACTCCCGGGTAAAAAAAAAATTGTAATCGAAATATTTTTTCCGAATTTTCAATAAATTTTGGGAAAACTTTTCAGAATTTTTTTTTATGGAAAAAGTTTTCCAGAAATTTTTTGAAAATTTGAAAAAAATATTCCGATTACAATTTTTTCCTCACCCGGGCTACAGATTACCATCATATACAAATTTATATAATTAATTAATTATTCATATAATTCATTATTTTTTTCATAAAAAAAAAACTTAAAAGAAAAACTGAAAAAAAAAAATGTTTGTAAACCAAAATAAAGATGAGCGTTTATTTTTAATATCCTCGTTATTATAATTATAATTTAATCCCTGATTATTCTCATTTTTTTTTTTAATAAATAAATGAAAATAAATGGACGTGCATTTTGATATTGCGGGAGTTATTTTGGTGAGGGCATGTGATTCACATGACATTATATGCCTCCATGAGAACACCCGTACCTCACCCCATCCACATGAAGAATTTAATTTCTCACGATGTTTTTCCATAGTATATATTTTTCGAGCTGAAATTGGGTGAGGATTTAATCCCGCATGAGGTGCATCTTCGCTCGACTGCGGGCGGTCATTCTAATCTAAAAATGCCACGGTTCTCATGATCTTATGCCTGCATGCCCAGTACTATTCTCCCACATATCATTGAAACTGGGGTTCGACAAAAGTCTCTGATAATTGACCGAAAATTCAAGCCCCGATCTCTTCCACTCTCCCATCCCTCTCTTCCCATTATCAATTTATAAAATATGGGAAAATTAATAAATTATATTACAAAATACTTTAGAATATAATTAATAAAAATTCCTCGACAGATTATCGAATATTTCCGGATCATTGTCGATTTCCGCCTTTCCCCTAATAGAATTTTTATTCCAAACATTTTTAATGAAAAATTAAAAGATATCGACAATAATTCTTTGAACGATATGTATATACCTGTAAAATTTTTGGAAATCAATTGATAATAAAATTTTTTATTTAAACATATGATCTTCGATAAAAAATAATTTCTCTCGTTTCTCTCAAACGCAGTTAAGATTTATATTTTACCATTGGACTTTGACATTTTTTACACAGAAACTTCAAGTACTATTCACATGTGGGCAGCACTGTACGCGTTATCACATTTTCAAAATGTAAAAATCGCCTGACAATTATAAATTATTTTCCCCCACTATTTATAATCTCAAATAAATCTTCAACATCACCAGAAATAAATTTTTTCACTTTTCACTTTTCATGGACGAAATGGATTTTATCCCGATAATTAATAATAATTGGTTAATCAATCAGAATTCGCTCATCAATTAAATCCATTCAAAAGTATTTTATTTGCGAATTAAACGGTAGAAATAGTCAGTTGTTAATTTAATTTATGAAAATATTTCCACCACTCGTACGCCAATTAAAAATTCGTCATCAGCGAAATTGCACAGCTCATCACCTCTTAATTATCAGTGATAAACTCCTGATGACTGTTGTAGCACATTGAAGGCAGAATAAGAAAGCCTGATCAACTGTATCAAAATAAAAAATCAATATATCAATATCAATCCCTTAAAAACGGAAATCAAGTGTTATAACAGATGGCCGCGTAATTGTTATTAAACAATAATATTTCAATAAATTTGAAATATGTAAGGATGACTGGTATATTGATAATGATAATCGCATGAGATAAAATACTGGAGACAATATTATATTATAATATCAACAAAGAAATAGCAGAATAAATATATGATAATGGTTAATTAATAAATTATATAATAATTAAATAATAATAAATTACTTACTTTATTGAATGAACTAATGGAGAGAAGAAGAATATTGCCACTCTTGAATTTAATGGGCCTGAGGCATTTAATAATGATGAATACTAGACTTTTTTGTGTCTGCGGATTTAGAGATGTCCAATCCATCGAATATATTCCGTCCACCATATTATGGCTCTAGAAATTCGGAAATTGATTGATTCACAGCATGACTCGCACTTTGCGAATGATTTTACCTCGGACGTTACATAACTCCCGGAAATACAGAGGATGAATATTTGGGACAGCATGCACAACAGGTACATCACGATAATTGCAAAATCAGGGCTGGTCAGATTGATCTGAGCTAATCGATAAACACTCACGCATAATACCGTTGAGCTTACGAAAAATTGTAGACAAATTAAGAAGTCGAATACTCGATTGCATTCCTCGGCGTAACTGAAATTGAGATTGTCGGTAGAATAATTAATTCAAAATCTGAATTGAAATCTGAGGAATATAATTTTAATGAATATCTAAATATGCGGAGGGGATGTGGGCGCGGCCATTTCGGTTTGATATATGAAATGGCGGCGGGTCCACCTCGCGTTTTCAAATAATTTTCAAAATTATGCATCAACTTCAAATCACTCTCGGCATGTCCCATCCGATTCCCACGGAGTGAACAATTTTTTTCACTGATTATCGAATTAATTCGGAAAAATTGATTAATCATAAAGTCAAATTATAATCAATTCATGGTGTAATGACGTATTTATTATGGAATCCGGTGAGAATGGCGACAAAAAATGTACCTGAGGTTTTTAAAAAAAAGATTATATACTCAACTGTAAAATTTGGAGATGATGCTTAACGCAATTTCTCAGCTGATTTTTTTCGCACTGATGGACATTTTCTGTAATGCCAGCGAATGATTTAGGGAGACATTGGAACCGATGCTGGAGGATGCCGAATTGCGGGCAGATTTGCATTATAAATCCATACATTAAGGTATCACAAGCTGCATTGGTGAAGGCACCGTAGGCATGTGCAATGATTTGATGGAGATATGCACTCCAGAAGCCGACGAGTGTTGAGGTGTTGTAAGGATACCAAGCTTGGTACGGTAAAATTCCCCTGGGAGCTTCAGTGCACAAACTTGCACTCGTCACCATAGCTGTCGTCACAGCAGAAAGTATGACGTACGCTGAAGCAGTTGATGTATGAAATGAAGAAGGCAAGCCAATTATTGCAAAAAGAAAAACAAAAAAAATGGCAATGCAAATGAATAAAAGGGTAGGGAGTGTCGATCGCTGCCTAGCAAATACCCCATTAATTAATTTTACCCATTATTCAATTAAACGTCAATTTATTTATGAAAATCCAATAAATCAGGATGAATACTCATTTAATAATCTGATCGTATTCCTGCTGTATCGCTAGCTCCTCGACGTCCTGGGGCTGGCAGGGATGGGACTGAAGGATCCTGATGAGATTGGAGATGTCATCTCGACCTAGAAGAACAGTTGTTGCCTTGGCACACGCACCGATCATCGAGAGGAGAATCACCAGGTTGTTGATGATGATGTCGATGCTGTCGTTGGTGATTGCCATATAAATTAGTTCTGATATGATGCTGCTGTAGACCACGAAGACGATGACAATTGCGTAGATGCTGTAGCCCGTCCATTTCCAACCCCTGGTGCACTTGTCTGGTCGCCAGAAACCAATGCACTGGAGAAGAATAAAACTGACCGGTAGCATCGCCATATCGAGAATGACCGGAGTAATGAACTCACACACACACGAGAGGAAAAAATCCGAAAGGGTTGTCACGATAAATTTTTGCAACAGGGATTTTACCCCTCGGCGGAATTGACAATGATATCGTTGGGAAAAATAGCGGATGTCCGCAGTGGTCTTATTTATTCATCAACCAATGTCGTTTAACGATTCCCGTGAGGGTTGAGAGAAAAAGGAAAATGTTTTCTTGAGGGGAATTTTTAAATTTATCGGATCGATATTTGACTTCGAGACGTGCAGTTGATTTTGCGACTATTCGTGGGAAAGTTCTTGGAAAATGGGAAATTTGTATTTGACGGGTGGAGGCCGATGAGTTTACAGCAGATAAAAAATGTTGAGAAGCCACGGGTGGAGAGGTCATCAATAAAATGAGCAGAAAACCTTGTACCATCAATTCTTCGGCGCCATAGCTGCGGAAATTTTTCAGAGAGGATTTGAAATGTTTGTTCATTTTTTATATACAGGATAAAACGAGACGAGGGCGATTTCAAGGGTATAAATGATTTAAATAAAGGGTTCAAAAGGCGAGGTGGCTGGCAGACTAGGCGCCATCTTGTCGGGATTTCCTCTCCCTCTGTCGCCATGGCTCGCAAATATGGCGGCGACTCCACTTCGTATTTTTAAATAGCTGGTATTTATTCATTTTTTATCGCCATTGGAAAATTTCATAATATTTCTATGGAGTGAACCATTTTTTTGCTGAAAATTCATGGAACAAAATTTTCTTCGCGTCCCTCGTCGAATGGTTGTGGAAAATCGGTGGAGATGATCGCCAAATTCACGGTTCCTGTAAATATTATCATCTCTTTCTCTTTCAGATCGGAGAAATGTCAATTCAACATTTGGCTTTCGCCTCATAATTTTATTACGAAAAAAAAGTCGAAGGAAAAAAACCGAAAAAATTTACGCACACCTATTTTTCATATAAAAAAAAAGTCCGTGGAGTTCTCTCTATTACAAAACCTCTATTAATCTTAAAATTTAATTATACTTATATTTCACGATGAAAAACCCTTGGCACTTCCAGTTTGTCGTAGAAAAGCTGTCGATATCTCAAAAAAATCCAAAATCCCTTGACCTCTAGACGATGAAGATGACAAAAAGATGAAAATGACGAGAATTTTCCTGAAAAATAAAAAAAATCGCCTGTACTTCACAAGCTCCAATGGTTTTTTCTAAACTGCGGGTCTACATCGACGACAAAAGAAAAAGCGAAGACAGTTGGCGCATTAAAAAATCAGACAGAAAGGGGTGATTGAGAATAGACCGTTGGGAACCTCCGGGTGATCATCAATAATGTCAAAGTTCCTGGGGGAAATAAAGGTTTTCCTTGACGATGAAAAAAAAATCACCTCATACGACAATTTTCTCTGGTTGGGGCGACTTACCCTCTCCAATGCTCCCTTACAGTTTTACTATTCTCCAGATTCTGGGTTTCTGTCGGTCAGTGAATTGGCAGAAGGGATGGAAAACAACACTCTACGACTGCTATACATACACCATGTTATTTTTACTCTACACAAACGCTGTGTTTCAATCAATCTACGTATTTTCGTCAATCGAGAGTGTCGATGCGTTAATTGATAACACTTTTATCCTTCTCACTACTATCTCCAGTGGATTCAAGGCTACGAGATTTGTAATGAGACGAGAGGAGATCATTCGTCTCCTCAGGATTTATCGGAATCACCCCTGTGCACCCCAAGATCAAGCTGAAGAGTTCATTCAGTCTAAATACCACCGAGTGATTCAGTAAATATTCCTTTTTATTCCCTCATAATAATCTTAAAAAAATCATTAAATTATGACTTTTATCTTTATTTCATTAATCTTATCATGCAAACCATGTGAGCGATTTAATTGATGTGAAAAATATTTTGAATTTTTTTTTTTACATATTATTCATTAATTTTTTTTAGATCGTTCTATTTCAGTGATGCTACGTTACAGTTTTACGTCTACACAAGCCTCTCCTGGGGATTTGTCATTTATTATTTTTTTATTATGCCTTCGACAATTTTCAGTAATTTGAGCTTGTGCTACATAAGCTTCACGATGGCGACAGTAACATTCCAGACAAGTGCTCAATGGAGACTAGCGATACCACAGAGAGAGCTGATTTACAAATCATGGCTGCCATATGATAATTCCCATCCTCTGGCCTTTTGGCTTTCTCACGTGCACCAGATGATCTGTCAATTCGCTGATGCCAGCGTCAGTTGTACGTACGGTGTCATCGTTGCTGCGATGATGATAAATATTTCTGGGCAATTCGTAATCCTCAGTCATCGCCTCGAAAATCTGAGGGAATCCGTGGGGTACCAGGACAAAGAAGGCATTACAAAAATAAGAGACCATGGCACTCATGACGAGATCGTCGATATGGAGAGAAAAAAACTCGCAGAATGCATCCAACATCACTTGCACATATTCGAGTTCAGTATTTAAAAAACAAATTCATCATTGCCATGTTTCCAGAAATTGTTTCGACTTTTTATTCAACATCACTTGACGTTTCTCGTACCGAAAGTTATGAATTGACAATTAAATACTCTCTGGAAAAAAATTGAAACTGAAAAAAAAAGAATTGGAATTACTTTCGTTAGATCATATATTTAATATTTAATTTGCAGTTGTTTCGAAAGGTCTAATGACGTTTTCAGTGGTACAATGCTCGGACAGTACATGGCAAGTGCATTTATTCTCTGTGGAACAATCTACAAAGTATCGAAGATGACGGGGTTGGATCCTGAATTGATAGGGATTGTCATGTACCTGACTTGCATGCTCTTCGACATCTTCCTGCCATGTTACTTCGGACATGAAGTCACTACAGAGGTGAAGAGAATTTTTTTCTCTCAAAAACTCGATTTTCAGGGAATTCCTGCAATGATCATTGATATTCCCTACACACTGAGCAATTAAAATAGATTAATTATTATTAATCAATCGTAATAAGTACTCATTAACTTTTGTTAATCAATTTAGAGGGAATAGAAAACCACTATTAAAATTTTATTAAAAGAGTTTCAGAGTATCACATGGGGTCTATAACATGGACTGGTCTGAATTGAAAATACCTACCCAGAAGAGTTTGATTTTGATAATGAACAGAAGTTTGAAACCTCTCACCTTCACCAGCGGCTACATCGTCCAGTTGTCTCTGGATTCATTCGGCGGAGTGAGAATTTCCTTACGAATTTTCTTCGGGATGTCAAAATATCCAGTACCCTAATCTCCTAATTTTTTCAGCTTATCAAAACATCATATTCCATATTCAATCTCCTGAAGCAACAGAGTAATTAATCTCAAGGACACATCACAAATAACATGGAATGATACTTCTTCTGGGAGAGTAGTCACTACTGTAGAAATTGCACAGATTTACCAATAACTTTATTATTATTTATCTCAATGATTCTTAATTGTCTTTAATTGTAAATTTGTAAAATTAGAATTGCGTATCAAAGATAATGGGATGGATGAATTTTCGTCTAATTCGGGATACCCGAAGAGTCTCTACATAAAAGTAATAATACTATGACAAAGTGGGCAAGAATTTGTGTTGATGACGTCCCTCTCAGCAGCTGCATGATGCCTGCAGAGAGTGCAGATCCAGGCATTGGTGAGATCCATAAGAGGTCGTCCACTGACGATGCAAGCAGGAAACCTAGTGGAACAATTAGGGCATGCGACACACCAATCGGGTACGAGACTCTCGCAGCTGACGCACTCAGCTTTATTATTCCTGCTGTCCTTCGGGGGATTCCCCATGAAGATCTTCAACGCGAGCTCCTCGTACTCCTCCCTCTTCCCCTCTGAGATCTTATCAAAGCTCTCAAGCTTGATGAATGCTTTGGAACAAGTGGAGAAAGCCCGGGAGAGAGAACTGGCAAGAGCCAGAAGACAGTAGATCTCTTCGGGATCAAGAATATCCTCGTACTCCCTGAGCCTCAATGACGTCTTCATGGCAGCTTCAAAATCCCCACTGTACACCTGCCTGCAGTAATAATTCGTGGTAGTAATTTGTGAAAATGATTCAAAAAGTCAATCGTTTCAATACCTGTGAGCAAGAAGAAGATAATGATAAGCCTCAGCACCCCTCCAGGCGTTCTCGATGACCCTGGAGTCCTCGTTGTTCTCACTAAGTCCCATAATAACATTACTCCTGGCCCCTTTGATGGCAGGAGTGCTGTTAATATGGTCCTCGATAAGAAGTGCAGCGAGAACATAAATTTTCTTGACCCTGAGGGGACTGGCCCTGAGTTTTGCCTGCTCCTCAGCAAGTCTCAGCAGAAGCTTTGCAGCCTCCAGATGACAATTGGCACTCCTGTACAATTCAATTGCCTGCAGCCTCTTGCCATTGGTCAGCAAGTGATTGGCGTATTTGTTCATGAGGTCGTTGATCTGTGCGACTTTGTAGGTCTTAGCGAGATCAACAGCCTGGTCCCAGTGATTGAGCCTCACGCAAGTGTCCACCGCCTGCTTGACATCCCCATACTTAATGTAAGCAGCAACAGCCTGGGGACACATTCCCACTGATGCCAGCATCCTCGCCACTGTCTTCAGGGTTGGCGATTTGTCTGGCAACTGATCAACTGTCTCTGCAAGCAGCTCGTAATCCTCAAGCTTGTAATAACATTGAATTAACATTTCCAGATTACTTCCCTTCTCGTAGTATTCCCTAGCCCCTTCCCAGTTCTGTCTCTCCGCGAAGTGATCACCAATTTTGTTGTAAGCCAATTCCATCTGCTTGTCTGATCCACCGATTCCCATTTTCATCAGTTGAAGGACTCTGAAGTAATCACCCAATTTTTGTCTTAGAGTTATCGCCAAGTCCCTTCTGTCCAGATCGAGGTACAGTTTCTCTGCCTCATCGTAATTACCCAGGAAGGCGGCCACCTAATAATCAATTATTCATTGATTTACCCGTTGATTGGACGTATTTATTATTTTAATTACTAGGTACCTCTGCTTTTTTCAGTTGGTCTGCGTGGACTGTGTGAAGTCTCTTGATAAATTGAATACCCAGGTAATCTGTGCACCGCACCATCGCGTTCTCCGCCATCTCCAGGTCCCTCGACTTGAGTGCAGACTCAGCTAAGAGTCTCCACAGGCGCGGGTGGGGGTTGTCCTGGATGAAGTCGTATGCCTCCTTCAGGCCGACTTTCGAGAGAAGCTCTTTAGTATCTCGAAGTGATTTAACTTCCAGATCGACTATCAATTCAGAACGCATCTCGTCGGGTTTATGGACTAGATCGTCCAGTAAAATGCAACGTATCTCGAGTTCTTGAAAGGAACAGATGTAGCCCGAGCACGAAATCGGCTCCTCCGGGTCCAGGCCGCGGATTACGTACATCCGGGTCTTCTCCATTATTGCGAGGAGCGAGGGGTTGTCCACTGCCCAACACACGGCCCACACGTCCTTTCTCTCAAACTTTCAAACAGAATAATAACCGAATTTTTATAAATTCGAGATATGAGAGGGATCAGGACAGAAGAGAAAAATGAAGAAATAAAAAAAAATCGTTTTCCCAGTCCAACAATCGGAGATAAAAAAAAAATAACAATTATTTCGAATCCGGGGGGATAAATCCTCACCTTGGAAATATCTTCTTGGTCGGAGCTGTCCTCATTCTTTTCCAAATCAATCATGGTGAGGACACCAGAACCATCGAGTATGGCAGCCCTGGTAGAGGAGCAGTTGACGTAGATCATCTGGGGTTTAACAGTGACAGTGTACCGATTAGTGAGGGTGATCTGAGGTAATGAGTACCTCTGCACCATCCCCGACTCCCTCCCGATGAGGAGAATCTTCTCACTGGCCCCAACACAGCAAATGGGATCCATCGTGACTTTTCTGCTGACAGCAGCCTCAAACGATCTCTCCCTGTCGAGATCCTGGATGACCTCGTTGACTCCAGTTGGAGTGTCATCGACGTGATACATCCTGTCCTTTCTTCCCCTGGCCCCCATCCCTGCGGTCTTGGGAATCCTGAAGTCCCAAACAACGAAATTATCCCTCGACGCTGCAATCACCGAATTACTGGTCATCGTCACCCAGAGGGGCTCGATCTCCAGGTACTTGGTGTCAATTGGGGTGGCTATTGTATTGCAGACAATCAGGATGAACTCCTCGCTTCCCTGATTTCGTTCATTGCGAACCGCCAGGACACAGTGATCACCAGCTGATGCCACGGAGACGAGGGATCTTACGTACTTCGTGGAGGAGGTGTTGCTCCTCGTGTTCCAGAAGATCAGGCAAACGCCGTCCTTCGTTACTCTCTCGTTGGTGAAGACCACAGTGTTGCTGAAACATTGCGGAAAGAATTCATCAAAATCGATATTCATCATAAATCAAAATTCGGAGGAATCATTTTTTTTCTCCTCATAATCCACCTGAAGTAGGTCCACTTGTAGTTTGGACGGATATTGGCGAAATAGATGTGAGAGTCGACGGAGAGGGCGAGCCTGAGGGAGCCTCCCTCCCAGGAGCAGGCAGTCACCTCTTTCCCAGGGACCTTGAGGGTCCTGAGAAGTTGACCAAAAGGTGTGTAGAAGAGGACGACGTTGGAATCCTTGGCCTCTCCACTGACGATCACCGATTGGACCCCTGTGACAGCCAGAAGAGATCCATAAGTGTTCCAGGCGCACCAGACATTGGTCACTCCTGTTTCAATGACAACTGGGGTCTCATCACTCGTGTCTCTCATCAGGTAGACTCGACCTGAATCGTAGCAGATCGCCAGGGATGGACAGTCCACTCCAATGAATCCGTATTTTCCACTGTACCAGTGGATGGCAACGATATTCTGGGGGGCCACTGGCAGATTCATGCTGATGTTCATGAGGAAGGAGCCCTGATTGTCGTACAGGTGGAGATTACCAGTTCGCAGACCGAACAGCAGGAGTTTTCCGTCTGGTGACCACTGGACACTCGTCAGTGGTGTGTTCTTCAGTTCTTTTCCCCAGATACGATTGCCATCCACTGAGCCCACGATTACTGCACCGTCCTCGTAGACGATACAAATTTTATGACCATCTGTACTCCACGACATTCCTTTCACTGTCGATTTGTTCCGATTGTTGATCATCTCTTCGTACCTGCAGACCGGATTTAATTAACTTGAGTAATTAATTATAAATTAATTATTAAATTTATAGTCGTACCAGGAGCCCTTGTACAGCATCCACACGACAATCACTCCATTCTGATCACTGGACGTCAACTTCTGGTACTCTTCATTCCAGGTGACTACCTGGACGTGTCCCTGGTGACCCTCCAGGGTCTGATTCATACTCAAATTACTCGTTGCAGGGAGACCACGGGTTTTTCCTGTGGTACCAGCACTTGGGGGACTTGAGTCCACCCTCAGCACCTTCAGGAGACCCTCTTCACCACCCACTGCGATGTACCCCTGCTTCTGATTCCATGATATGCAGTTCAGCCGAAAGTTATTCGGGATTGCGATCTTCTTGCTCAGGTAGACAAACATTTTTCTCTTCCTCTGGAAATTCTTTTTTTTGTTTTACGATGGGTTAAATGGGGCTGGGGCTTTCTGTCATTTTCCAAGGGCTTTTGTTGTCACCGAGCGCCATATTTGTTGTCGTGGGGATCTATTCAGGTGTATTGGAGTCACAGGTGAGGGCTCACCTGTGGCACCCCGAGGCCCTCCTCTGGAGGGGGAAAACAGGATTCAAGGAAGAGGGGGAAATTATTTTAATCTCAAAAAAAACGAATGATTAAAAAAAATATTAGTCTTCCTCTAAAGTTATTAAAAATAATTGTAATAATTTCAAAACCTTTTAAACAATTTTTAATTATTTTCAAAATTATCCAGATTTTTTTTTTATTCAACCAAAAATTATTAAATAGTAGGAATTAAATTTGATTAATCACTAGATTGGAACAGAAGCTCAAACGACGCTTGATCTATTTAACGAAATATATATGTACATATATATAGGCGTGTATATATTTATATGGCGGTTAATTTAGTGGACGCAGAGAGAAGGGGATTAATTGGTCAGAGCAGTAATGAATCAAGAGGAATTGGCGTAACGCCAGATTGTCTATCAGAAATTTTATTATCTTTCCCCAATTGTATACACTATTTCATGTAACAGAATAAATCTCCTCATATTTATAAATGTATTTCCACTCTGATCGTCTCCTTTAACTTCAACATCATCTAAAAATATTAGACTTACTTTGTATGTACATTGATTAGGCAATTAAATCTTTTTACGTCTCAAGCATTGAAATATTAACCAGAAGAGCGAATTAATGATTAAAAAATATTCCGGTGTGCGCAAATCATTGGCAGAATTTTACAAATGATTTTGAAGTTGATAATTCAGGAATTAATGAATATCAGCGGCATCCATTATATATCCATTAAAATTGAAGCTAGTCTTCTAGTACAATTGGAATCTATTTGCATTACGACGAGTGTAAAAAATTAATAGAAAAACCATTTTTGTCAAGAAATTCTACGAAATAGCTGCAAAATTTTGTATTCATGATTTCAGTTGAGACTTGCTCAATATTCATGTATTTCCCTTACGACAGAATTATAATTCTGCTGTCTTTATTATTTCCAAAAATTCATTAATGTTTGCAACATATTTTTTTTTCCAACGAAAGAATCTATTGAACGTCGACATTTCTATGCAGCTCAGAAAAACCTGCTGAAGAAGCCCTTCTTCTGCTCATCGTGCTTGATGGCCTTCATGAAGATGGCATCGATGTCCTTGAACACTTGCTCACTGGATTTGGCAGCATTGACGTAATTGTGAACCCCACGAATGGCGTAGTAATCGACGAGGGGTTGAGTTTGAGTGTGATAGGTGGCAAGACGTTTCTTCAAGGCTGTGGCATTGTCATCAGACCTCCTGCTGAGTGGCTCCCCAGTGACATCATCCTTCATTGGTACCTTGGGAGGTGCAAACTCCTCGTGATAAGACCTACCACTGGGCAGGTGAATGAGACGTCCAGTGATTCTCTTCACCAGCAAATTGTCGTCGATTCCGAACTCGATTACTGCATCGAGGGTCTGTTTCCTCTTCGCCAAGAGGTCGTCGAGCTTCTCAGCCTGGGGTACACTCCGGGGAAAACCGTCCAGGAGAAAGCCACGCTTGCACTCTGGCTTGTCCAGATTCTTATCAATCATCTCAACGACCAGATCATCACTCACCAGTTGTCCTTGATCCATTATTTTTTTCAGCTCACCACCTAGCTTTGAACCACCCTCCACCTCCGCTCTCAGCATGTCTCCAGTTGATAAATGACACACGCAGTATCTCTCCTTCAGCCATGGCGCCTGAAAAAAATAAATCATCGAAATATCTGAGTATATTACAAAATCAATAAAAAATTCAATTAATAACGGCTGATAATACGAATAAATTCAAATCATGAAAATTATCACTAGAAATATAAAAACAAAAATAGAATAAAAAATCTGATTTTACTGTCTTTATCTTTTATCACTGCAAGCACTTGAGAAAATATTCAATTAATTCTCGCCGTCATATTGATTTAATTACATTTCCAAATTTCCATGAAGATTATTGAATTGAAATAATTAACAAAAATGCAATACTGGAAAATGAACATCACTTGAAATTTAATCGCTCCTCTGGATTTTCTGATCTTCAAGTTGCCAAAAATTATAAAAATCGAATATAATTTGAAATATTCGAAAGCTACTCTATAACCTGATTTTTCAATCCGAAAATCTGTTAGTGTACGGCGGATAATTTATGATGAGATGTAATTAGAATTGGATCTCGAAAGTCGTGAGTTAGGAAATCGAACGAGTATCGAAGGTGAAGACGTCTGAGGATAAAAAAATTTTTCGATAAGTTCAAGGGTCAAAGGTACCTGCGTTCCCTTTCCACTGCCCGGTGGTCCAAGTAGGACAGCATTGATTCCTCGGGATGGTTTTTCAGTTTTTTCCTTGAGAACGGGTTCCGCAGCAGGTGCCATTTTCACTCCTCTCCCCAGATTAATCAACGAAAATTAATTACTCCGATTGTTACACCGGCAGGGGCTCAATTCCCTCGTGAAAAGTCGTCTCCACAGGGCAGATGTGAATCGGTGGAATCGGTGGTTTTACTGTTCATGCGCAGTAGCACGATCAGCTGGAGAACCCCTGAGGCCCTGCCATTCGTTCGTTCCAATGGCGCGCGGAAACGAAAAATAAATGTCACTTTAAAACAGACGCAGAGAAAAAATCCGCCATTTGAATTTACAATTTATTTTCCAAAAATTATTTATCTCAGATAAAATTCCAGTGAACATCTCCTCGATTTTCATGCTTCCCTGATACCTTTTCAAAAATTTGGAATTTTTCAATTTCAGTGAATACCTCCTCAATGGTCATGCTCTCCTGATACTTTTTCAAAAATTTGGAATTTTCAAATTTCAGTGAATACCTGCTCGATTTTCATGCTTCCCTGATACCTTTTCAAAAATTTGGAATTTTTCAATTTCAGTGAATACCTCCTCGATTTTCATGTTCCCCTGATACTTTTTTGAAAATTTCGAATTTTTAAATTTCGGTGAATACCTCCTCGATTTTCATGCTCCCCTGATATTTTTTCAAAAATTTTGAATTTTCACATTTCAGCGAATACCTCCTCGATTTTCATGTTCCCCTGATACGTTTTCAAAAATTTCGAATTTTTCAATTTCAATTTCAATTTCAATTTCATACGTTTTCAAAAAAGTGTGTAGCGCCCTCCCTCTCTAGGGGTGCAGTATTACGATGCCGTTGGGGTCACCCAAACCCCCAGAACTGACCCACTACTTCAGTCACTCGGGGGTGGAACACCTGATTGGTCGATGAGAGCCCAGTGACTCTCAATTATCCTCCCATGAAAATTTACAGTTTGGGTGTAAATACGCCCGCAGGTCTATTGTGTTTCAGTACGAAAAAAAAGAGGGTGTGTTGAATGTCCCAACGCATAATGCCAGATGACGCGTTGATTGATACATGTTGTAAATAAAAAAAATATAATCACAGATGCATTTAGTGAATTAAACGTCGGAGCAATCAATAAAGTGTGACGAGGAATTGGAGAAAATGCATGGGTGTGGGACGTCAGTGTACAGCACAGGAAGTTGAATAATACGATACAAACAAGGACTCATTGTTTCACCAATTAAACAAGTTTTTGTCTATTTGAGGTGATTAAGGGAAATAAATATGTCGTACAGCAGCGCAAGTGTCGAGAATTTGACGGCGGAAGTGCAGGTAAAATTTTTTCATCGGTGAATCATTTTTCGTGGGCTGTTATCCAGTCACTGTGAGTCATTCATCAAGAAAGGAGAGATCCAATTAAAGATTTATTTGATATAATTATTCGTTTTTAAATCGAAAATTTAGCACTAGCTGTTTCTCCGGTTTCGAATGAAAAATTGATGACGTGAATTTTAATTTAATCCATTTTCCTGGAGCAATTCATTTTTTTAGACAATTGACTCCATGAATGAATTCTGATTGGATAATTGAACTACAAATTTCTAGGCTCTAGTTTTTGTTCTCATATTTTCAATTGGGATTAAATTTCAGAACGGCGGAAGCGACAGCAACATGTGCCTGGAGCTGGCCCTGGAGGGAGAGCGACTCTGCAAGGCAGGGGATTGTCGTTCAGGTGTAGCATTTTTTCAGGCAGCAATTCAAGCTGGAACCGACGACTTGCGAACACTCTCAGCAATATACAGCCAACTTGGTAATGCGTATTTTTACTTGGGGGATTACGTGAAAGCAATGCAGTACCACAAGCACGATTTGACCCTAGCCCGTTCGATGGGTGATAAATTGGGTGAAGCAAAATCGAGTGGTAACCTGGGTAATACCCTGAAAGTAATGGGAAAATTCGACGAGGCAATGATATGTTGCAAGCGTCACCTAGAGATTTCCCGAGAGATCGGTGATAAATTGAGCGAGGGTAGAGCCCTGTACAACCTGGGGAACGTGTACCACGCCAAGGGAAAACAGGGAGGAAAGGGTCCTCACGATCCTGGAAAATTCTCCGAGGATATCAGGCAGTGCCTGCAGCAGGCTGTGGGATACTACGAGGAGAATCTTGCCCTGATGAAGGACCTGGGGGATTCAGCAGCCCAAGGAAGGGCCTGTGGTAATCTGGGGAACACTTTTTATCTCCTGGGGGAATTTCAGAGGGCAATTTTTTATCACAACGAGCGCCTGAAAATAGCTCGTGAATTCGGTGACAAAGCTGCTGAGAGACGAGCCAACAGCAATCTGGGTAACTCTCACATCTTCCTCGGGGAATTCGACAAGGCTGCACAGCATTACAAGAGAACTCTGGTTCTTGCTCAGGAGCTTGGGGATCGAGCTGTCGAGGCTCAGGCCTGTTACTCCCTGGGGAATACTTACACACTTCTCCGAAATTATTCATCCGCCATTGAGTATCATCTGCGTCATTTGGCCATTGCCCAGCAATTGATGGATCGCGTGGGTGAGGGACGTGCCTGCTGGTCCCTCGGTAACGCCTATTCCGCCATGGGCAATCACGAGAAGGCTCTCCACTTTGCCAATCTTCATCTGAATATATCCAAGGAACTTGGTGATCCCATGGGACAGGCCACTGCCCAGATCAACGTTGCTGATCTTCAGAAGATACTTGGAATGGAAAATAACGAGAAGGAAAATGACAAGGTAAATAATCAACCCATTTCTGGCAATTCTGTTGCTGCCTCCTCTCCTGGAAGATATCGGCTCAGGAGGCAGAGCATGGATAATCTGGATCTCATCAAGTTAACTCCAGATGGAAAGCAGAAGGATAATGAGACATCACTGGCACGTGCTGGTATCGCTCCCCAGCCATCGCAAGAAGAAGAAGAGGAAGACTTCTTTGAACTTCTCACCAGGTTCCAATCTGGGAGGATGGACGATCAACGCTGTGTTCTCAAAACTACCAAAAAAATGAGAACTAAGGCGCCTCCACCAGAGAAAGAGAAAGACGGTGATGATTTGTTGGAATTAATTGCCGGAATGCAGAGCAAGCGAATGGATGAGCAGCGAGTGACGCTGCCCTATCTTCCAGGGTTAAACACCAATCCAAAGACCCAAGCCGCTATGAAAACACCTATTCGAAATCCCCAGGATCCCGACGATTCGTTTATAGACATGCTTCTGCGTTGTCAGAGCTCGAGACTCGAGGACCAGAGAAGCCCATTGCCTGCAGCATCAACGGTTCAAGACACAGAAGAGGAGCAAAACCAAAGATCCAATGGAGCCACTCGATCTGGCACTACTGTACCCGAAGAGGACCTCTTTGCTCTCATTCAGCGGCTACAGGCTGGTCGCATGGAGGACCAGAGGGCCACTGGACCCACCAAAAATCACTGAATTCACATCGACACACGTAAAAAAATTCCAAGCCTAAAAATCTCTAGGAAAATTCTGTCGAATTTTTTTACAGCAAATGCTGTTTCTTCATACGTGAAGTATTCCTGCAATAATTTCTCATTTATTTATGAATAGGATTTTAACTTTAACAGTGCCAATTTATTTTTATCCTTTATCGTGAAGGATTCTACCCCAAAGGTGGGATTAGATTAGGATATAGAAGTAGATATCGCGCGAAGAAAAAAATTGATAGAAAAAAATCAACAGATCTTGAATTTTACGAATGAAGTCGTTTCGGTTTATTAAGTGTCGCATTATCTCACTTTATCACTCCGTTACTGAATTATTCTGTTGAGAAATATTCTGAGAAAATTCTTCGGCCTGGAATTCTCTCATTTTTCATGAACTCATGGCCATGAATTTTAGTACGAGAAATCGTAATAATAAATTGGAGAGAAATAAAAATTTATTTACTTTTCCAGTAGAATTTTAATGGATTAAAAGGAACTTAAATGAATTTCCGAAGTGAAAACGTGAGATTTTCCTATCAAGTTCTTTCGTATTTGATTTTCTCATTTTTTCGTGCAACTGCCAACTACTCGAAATTGTAAAAATTCAATTCGTGAAATGATTCAATAGAATTTATTCATACTCTTGTGAAAGAATGATCTATTAATTATTTTCATTCCCAAAATCACGACGCAGTATTCTGAAAGACTTGAGAACTGATTAGACTTATTTCCATTCCTCCCAAAAATATAGTTTTTCAATAAATGATATGATATATCTCTTCTGAATGACCACCAAAAAATAAAATTGAAAACAGGTCATCGATAGACGCACGAATCCACAAAAATGAAAAAATAAATCCTAAGAAGATATTAATCTAACCGCCAGAAAAAACAAATGGGAAGAATAACTAGATTCTATTGTTAGTAACAATTTACATATTTATTATTGAGAATTGTCAATACTCTACTGTTAAAATTGCCTACGTTTCCTAGATCGAAATGTGTTATCTCCTGCCAAATGAATTTTCTACTGATCACTGAATTCCAATCAAATGTAAAAATTTTAATTTCATGTACAAAAATCTGTTAATTTTTCTCTCAGTGCCCTAACTTTACAATTTTTATTTTCAAATGATATATTTTCGCATGAACTTAGAGAGTATTTTTTTAGAAAACTTTACATAATTACTGAGACAGTATCAATGATTTATAATTATTTTGTACGATTGAGTTGTACGTCAAATGAACGCTCTGTAAAATCCACTTAATACTTGAAAATATAATTTTTTCTTAAATGTTTATTCCCTCGTACGTGTGAAACAAATGAGTTAATGAATATTCACAATTTTCTCATCAGTCAGATTAATTCGCACGAGATGGAGAAGAAAGCGAATATTCCTTGGAATTTATGGAGTGACGTATCGAAAAGTGAAACGTGGGGTAAATTCGACGAGAGATTAATCGATCGTTCGATTAATCCCCCAGTGATCACGATCTATTGATCTGTATTTGTGGAATTTTGATGCAGATGATCAACCGCTGCAACCATTTCTCTTGCCACAATCACTGGCCCCTCATGAATGGAAAAGATTTCCTGAGATTGATAATGCGGAGATCGTTCTCTGTGACTCAACAGATTCTCCCGATTTATTCAGCAATAATCGGCATTTATTGCACAGTGAGGTAGAAATAATTCAGTGGTTAATTGCTATTTCATCTTTGAACTCTGTCACAAAAATTGAATGCTCTTTTTTTTTGCGTGAGGCATTACCAACGAAACGATCGAGTACCGTTTTTTCGAATTTTCTGGTATCTCAATTATGTCAAGAGAACGGAATAATGATTACATAATTACTCTAACAGCATTTCGATTTTTACATTTTTTCCTGAGTAGTTCATCAGATGGTTCTGCTGTACATTGAGAATCCTGAATTATTCCCATAAAGTGGACGGCAAGAAGTGGCAGGGATGGCATCACATTTTCTCACCGAATAAATCCCGAAGGAGCTCCGACCGAAATCCCCAAATAAATCCCAACGGTACCCAAAAAATGACAAAAAAAAATTAAAAGGAATTCCTACACCAAATTTACTGTAAAAAAAAAAATAATTCAACACCCAAAAGACGAATTTCGTGTAGAAATTTCAGGAATTCCTTTTTTTAATATTTTTTTTTTACTAATTAATGAGAGAAGTTATTGAATTATTGTCGGATAGGTAAATACATGGTGAGACTTTTTTTCATGGGGTTCTGGAGATGTTTTCCGGTGGACGATGCCATACCCTTGGGGGAAGAGGGAATTCCTCTGCTTCCACGAACGGGAAATGCGAATGAATTATGGCCCATGATTCTAGCAAAAGCTGTGTGGCAGATCGCTTCCCTCAGTGCAATCAACGATCGTGAAATCGTTGATTTCAATTCATTTTTGTGTTTCACAGGTCAGACCTATTCCGACACCGAGAAAAAAAAATTAAATAAACAATTCCTTTTTTATTTCGTCGAAGAGACTCCAATTATAATGAATAATAATAATCCTTATTATTATTTAAAGAAGAATTATTGGAAAATTAATAATGGAAATAATGGAAATAATGGAAATTGGAAAATTAATAATAAATATTAATAATGCCGATTTCAAATCACAAATCCCATAAAATTTCCCGATGTTTTTTCTTTTGAAAAAATATAGGATGGACGTTGATGTCCCAGGAAATATCTCACTTATCCCCGAAAGATCAGTGGCAATTGTTAATTAAATATTCCCCAAATGAGAAGGAGTCAGCAGGGAGAAAGATTTCCATGGAAGAAACTGGAATAAATAGTTTGGGAAGAAACAGTAAAAAAGAAAGGCCCAGGAAGAGCGGCGACAGGAGGGGAGAACCTGAAGAGAATAAAGTGGATTATTCTATTTTGACACTTTTATGTTCTCAGAGCAATGGAATCACAACAGATCATGACGAAGGGCCCAGAGTCCCCCCTGGGTACCCAATATTCATCGAATCGACTTCTGATCTCCCCTCGGACCCCACACAGGTAGAAATGATGATTTTAATTCTTTTCTACTGATTTTTCCGAATTCCGTGGATCATCTCCGGGGAAATTAATCTTTTCAATGATTTCCTGAAGATTAAGCGAGGGATTGAACCGTGGAAGTACCCGCGATGGGTTTCCTGGGCAGTTCGTCAAGGGATTATAAACCCAAAGGAGCAATTTTCACCCATAAGACGTGTCTTTCTTCTCCTCCCTGAAGAACCGGAAGTCACAGAGTTTGACTTCAACGAACTCGACGTTCACCGATTTTATATTTTTTTCAAACGTGAGTATTTCAAGTGCTCCGAGGATGTCTCCAGTTTGCCACAAGAAAGGGTAGAATCGGAAGAATCAAAAAAGGAAGTGGAAAAATTCTCGAAGTCGAAGAATAATAAAAGACCGAGTAAACAAATAATTTCCACACAAGTCCCAGTGAAATTTCATTATCTCCACACACTGAAGCCATCGAGGAACGAGCCCCTCTACCTTTTTGTTGATTCTATAAATCCGATATTGTTGATATTCAATTATTGCGTGTACGGAGAGGAGTGGAGTTCTTTGATTATCGGGACCTGCACCTGGTTCTCTCGGAATTCAGGAACGAAAAATTTATTGCAAGTTGGGACGAGAGGCTGTGCAGCTAGAACCCTTTGCCTGAATCCTGGAAGACACTTGTTGAGGATTTTCTGTCAGTCCAGGGAGCATTACTATTTAACAATATCATCAGACACTGTCTTCCACATTGGAGACAGGATGAGAGTCCAGGACCTCATGACTTCTGAATCAGAAAGAATTGAATTCTTCGCGGAGGATGTGCATCGCAGGTAGAAAAAATCATTCTAAACTAAATGACGTTAATCTAATGCCATTAAATTCGTCAGACTTAAAACTGCAATCAACTCTCTATCCACTCCAAATGATCTTACGGATTTGAGGGATTTTTATCAGAGCTACATGCCGCGAGAAATTCACTCCAAAAAATTCTGCAAACTCGATCGCTGGAGGATTCACGAGAGGTTCAAAGCAGAATTTTTGGACACCGCTGGGAAGAAATGTCGAGAGAATGGAAGACGTGCGTTAAAAATCTTCTTCATGTCCCTTGAATCCCGAGGAGGAGATAAAACCCCAGGGGCTGACGATGACACTTCCCCTGCAGCTGTGAAGATTCAGTCGTTCTTCCGAATGCTGCGAGCGAAGAAATACCTGCGACTTCGTCAGGGTAACGACAGAGAACATGAGGAGGTAAAACGGACTCTAGAAGAGGTCCTGGAGGCTTTCGACACCAAGACAATGTGCCAGGTTGTCAGGAATTTGGTGAATGGGATGGGGGAGCTGGGGATGTATCCCTGCAGCTCGGATTTTCAGAATGTCCTGGAGATCCAGAAGATGAGGGGAACAGCTCTGGTTTCTCCAGGCAATTGGGTTCCAATGGTTCGACAGAATCTGATGGTGCGACCTGGAGAAATCGTCTTCGCTGCCCTGGACTTGTTCGTCGAATTGCCTGGGTACAGTCTCAGGTGTTTCGACAATGACACCAGCAAGGAAGTCTTCAGGGCTGTAAATAATGTGATGCCCTTCCACTACAAAGGAAACAGAACTGGATTCACTGTCGTTGGATATGGATGGACTGATGAGGACAGGTGATTACCCCGAGAGGAAAAGTTTCTAAATCCCCAGGCAAATTATTCTCCCCCTGAACTATTTTCTCTATTCTCACATTTTTATAGTTAAAACTATTTATATATTATTTATAAAGATTTTTATAATCTCGATAATTATTGCGACTCAGACCTGCAACGGTGAATTGGACTCTGCACATAACAACCAGAAGAGGATCTTCTCAATTCCTCGGTGAAGGTCAATCCCAGCCTTTACCCTCCATGACAGAAGACGCAAACCCTGCGATATATGAATTATCAAACATCTACATCCCGAACTACAACAATTGCCTCGCTAAAGCCACCCTGAGAGTCTCCAGAAAATGCATTCTGTCTCTTCGGCTGAAGACGTCTTACCCGAAAGCGAAAATCACATTGAGAGTTTCAAGTACAGAAATTATGATAAAAGAATTTTCTGGAGTCTCGGCGGTTTTCCTGCCAGTGGTCAGGCTTGACTGCGAGGTGGAGTACCTCATCCAGGGATTTGTCCTGGAGAAGTCCTGGCCATTGACAGAGGACGAGTGGAGGTGTGTCCAGAGGGCGAAGAGCGATCTGGAGGAAAGGATAAGCTCGTCGGGTTTGTCTGGAAATTTTGTGGAGAGAAGAACCCTGAGAGCTGGTGATTCGTTGGAAAATCCTCACTGGAGTCTTCAAATTTTGTGTGACCCTGACATCATCATTGAGGTATTCATTCGTCACGATAAATAACTGGATAACTCTATTCTTCAATAAATTTCATTGAAGACAATAAAGATAAATTGATATTTAATATTCCGTTGCTGAATTTCTCTCGAGAATTTTTTTTCGTGCGTTTCCAGCTCCAAGAAGATGTCCGAAGAGACTTGGAGATGCTGGAGACCAAACTGCAGTGGAGATCGCAGGATCCCGGTAGATCCGATCGCGGAAAAAATCTGCGGGAAGAATTTCGGGATAAAATTAGCATTGAACGTTGCAATTTCGAGTTTTCTGAGGAGGAGCAAGCGACTCCTCCAGGAGATGACGAAGAGATCAGAACACTGAGTCCTCCACGTGACCGACGACGATTGCCACCCCTGGATCTACCTCGACAGGCTCCAGGGACGAGGGGAATGCTCCAGGAACAGATCCAGAAGAGGACGAGTTTATTGAAATTCGAGGAAAAGTCCAGGTACCTGATGCAGCGCCTGGAGATGACGTTGGTTAAATCTCTGGGGATGCCGATTACATAATTCTCTAGATCTAGAATAATGGAATTTTGGAATACCGAGAGATCTGGGAATTCATGGATCGAATAAACAATTGATTATAAAAATCTTTTCACTTCTTTCTTCATCTATTTCTTCCATCTTCTTCGAGTTATTCATCAGGAACTCTTTTCACCCATGAGGTGGGATTATCCGGGCTTATAGCCACATGCTCACGTCGATGAGGAATTTAATCGCCCTGAAATTATTTCTTCATCCGGTTGAATATTTCTTCCCCCGGTGGCCCAAAAAAGGATCAGTAATTTGATCTACTCGAAAAATATATTCATTCACTCAACGCATTAATGAATTAATTCAATTACTATAGCATCATTTGTTGATAAATTTATTAATTACAGAGGGGGAAGTGTCAAGAAGAAATGAGGGGATTCCCCTCAATTTAATGAGTGATTAATTGAATTTCTCGTGGGAAATTCAAATAAAAAAGACAGAAGACTGAAAAAATTAGTAACTGGTATTTTTAAAATTTATTTCAGTGGGTGAATTAATAATAATTGTTCAAGTGGTAGTCGATGTGGGAGACTAGATAATGAGATTGAAAAAAATGAGAGGAGTCGAACGAAAGATAGCCCCCGAAGCATTGTTTTCTTTTTAAACTATTTAACTCATTTCCCCCCTCAATCGCGGCCTCATTAACGATATCTACAATATGACATTCGTAGTGGATAAAAACCCGCCTGTTTTCCAGGAAGGATTAATCGTACCCCATTACGTAATCCGATAATTCAAAAATAGTTCAACCCAATCAATGAAAATCCACCGATTTATTTTAGTGCCCAAGCAGAATAAACAAATTCCCTCCGTATTTCGTGAAAATCACCGACGCCCGATGACGTGATGCGAAAATTATTTTCGTAACACGATCCACACATTTTAGTTCTATTTGTCGGCCATGTAATTACCATAAAATAAATGTTACGCTAAATAACCGGCAATAGCATCATCAATAAACATTACGACTCCATGGAGTCATTATTTGTTTTTTTATTTTCTGAAATGATAAATTCCTCTCGAATTTTCCTGCTATCCCATTTTTATTATAAATATTATTGACTAAAAAAATAGAATAAATGGATTTTTCCAAAAATTTTCTCACGGAAAATTGAAATTTAATATTGTTAATTTTTTTTTTTTTTCGTGGAGAGTGTAGAATAATGTTAATAATATTTAGATTTATCGACGATACGATCCCATTTTTATTATAAATATTATTGACTAAAAAAATAGAATAAATGGATTTTTCCAAAAATTTTCTCACGGAAAATTGAAATTTAATATTGTTCATTTTTTTTTTCGTGAAGAGTGTAGAATAATGTTAATAATATTTAGATTTAGATATTGACGGGATAGAATTATGAGTAATTGCGTTATTGATTTTTGGTGGGGGTAATAATTTTAGGATTTATGTTGATTTTGATGATGAAAAAAGAGTAATAATAAATGAGGCGTTGACAGGAACGAGGTGAGGAGAGCTGGACAAGTGAGACAAATGGAGATGGATCCCTGAATGATGGAGGGAGATAAAAGTCAAAAGAGGCAGATACAGGAAGAGGAGGCTGTGTAAAGTGAGAACTAAAGTGAAGAGAGATGGTATGACGAAAAAGCGACGAGCCCTGGGTACAAACTTGAGCTCCACTACGTCCGTGGCAGTCTCACGTCGAGTTCCGCCGGCGCATCTTTTCGGGGTTCAATCGATTAAAACCGATATTACATGGCCTATCCAAAATTAAATTAACGAATTGAAACACCATCAACCCGCAAATCAATCCGAATTTCACTCATCCTCATGTACAATTTTTTTATTTATCCTGTTATCGATGTCAGGTGCCCCCGTGATAAGTGATATATATCCTGTGAGCAGTGATTGTTCATTAAAGTCTGGATTAATAAAGTAACGAGAGAAAAATGTGGGTTGATGATATAAGAATTTCCACATGCAATTGAAACATCTCCTTGATCTCAGATTTATAATCTTCACCCTAGTGTCTTATCGCAATGCTTTATATTAGAAGCCGTTTCATTATCTCTAGTCGAGTTTTTAGGTTTTTCTTTATTTATTTTTATTTTTTTTTCGTTTTAGTTCTTTGTTCTTGTGGGTTAAGGGAATTTACAGAGTTGATCTATTTGCTGAATGATAACCGAATGTTTCATTGATGCCTGTGTTTGTTCTCGAGATAGTGCATGGGTTTTATGGGCTTTTTTTAAAACATTATTCTGGAACACTTCCGGATCCGCTGACATGCGCTGGATAGCGGTTATCAGTGCTTTATTTCATGCAGTTGAAATTTGATTCATTGTGATGAAACAAATTTCCTAATTTTAAATATTTTAAATAACTTTTCGAATTTCGTTGGAATTCAAAAATTATTCTTTTTTTTTTAAAGGGTAGTCCATATTTTTGGGATTGGATTAATCTTATTTATTTTTTATTTTTGGATTAATTTCAAATTTCTTTGGAATTTAAAAATTATTCCTTTTTTTTAAAGGGTAGTCCATATTTTTGGAGATTAGATTAATTTTATTTATTTTTTATTTTTGGATTAATTTCAAATTTCTTTGGAATTCAAGAGTTATCCATTTTTTTTTTAGAGTAGTCCATATTTTTGGGGATTAGAAGAATTTTATTTATTTTTAATTCTTGGATTAATATAAAAAAAATCTGCAGAAATTGAAATAATTCCCGATTTTTCCTATTAATTAAATATTGAAGACCCGTAATTACTCGATTATCGTGAGAAATCAATTAATCCCCAAATTTTCCAAAAAAATATTTCCACCAATTAAAAAATTGGAATTTTAAACGCAGAACGCATACATTCCGATGCTGAGGTCTCGCTGGACGGTGAAAAATCGGAGATCGATCGGTCGATGAGAGAAATATCAAGTAATCGTTGACTAGCTGGTGAAAAAATGAGACTGGTAATTTGTCTCTTTTTACTTGTGTCATCGACTCATCAGGATTCATTCCGGGATCGGCAGTACCATCGACCAACTCGTCCAACAACACCTCAGGACGTCGAGAATAATCAGACGGTCGCACCTGTTGGGTAAATAAAATTAAAAAAAAAAAAAATGTCCAATAATTTAACAATTCTCCATGATATTTTTCGGTGGCTCATCCGTGAATAAAAAAAAAATCGGTTGGGGTTATCGGACAGGATGCCTGTGACAATCATATCGTCGATCGTCGATCGTTGAATTTGCGTTATTATTCGATACCAATAATAATTCAGACACTGGCGCACCTCTCCCCCCCGAACACTCGTCATCTCTTTTATTTTCTTTCTTCTCACTTATCTTTCTCTCTCTCTGTCACCGAGATATATCATCTGTACAATGCATCATGCACTTCCTTTTGGTAATTCGTACTGCTGATCAATACAAACAATCGATTATGTAGACACGTGCCAGTTGAAACGAATCGGCATTGTTTCCGGGACGATATTATTCGGTAGAAAATTCCATTTATTTTCAGAAAAAAATTACTCGCTTCATCCATTCATAACGATTTTTTATCATCCGGAAAAATTATCGAAAGAAAAATGAATTTTTTTTTTCTGTAAAAACCGAATAATTTTTTTATTTAAATTTTTTAATTATAAAAATGTGTAGACTAGACAATTTTCTAGATCACTGAACTAGTTACCGAAATCAGGACATCAAATAAATTAATCATCACAACTGATTATAGCGCGAATAATAATATCATAAAAATAATTGATTCGTCAGATTTGGTGTAACGACTTGAAAAACCTGTCGTGAACGAAAGAATTCCCCAGATGCCGTCCCCCTCAATTATAATTATTTGTCGATGAATAAGTAGCCACTTATAATAATCGGGAACGGCAATTTTTCCTCGCCGTTGCAACGAGTACCCGTGGAAAATTGCCTCTTCCGCGAGGAAAAACCTCAAGTCAAATAAAATCGGAATGAGTCAAGTGGCGAGAAAAAAAAAATCGAGTTATCTTCTTCTAAAACATGTACACACATTTGCGCCCAATTAACTCTCACATTCTCAAATATTTCTTTATTTACATCAACGGGATAAAAATTCACGGCGCACGCACGCCGCTGAATTCCAGTGGTTAAAAATACACGCGGAACGAAAAAAAAAAAACAGATTTTTTTCATTTCCATTAAATGAAGCAATAACATGAGGGGGGGCCGATGGGGGAGATTGAGTAAAAAAGTCTGGGGGAATTTTTAAGAGATCCTTTTTATGACTACTCTGTGGCAATCGCGAGGCAAGTGTCATAGCGAATTATTTTATCTGAAACTTGAGAGCGCAGAGTCCCTTATCTCAGGATTGCTCGTAATTACGAGTGAATTATGTAAATGTGGAAGAAGACGGGGTCAATTTTTGCTGATGGAATGCACGAGGGGGGGGGGGTAATTTGTTTTTTTTTTATCGATTCCAGTACTCAGCGCAATGAAATATGCGACGCGATTCTGTTTATCATATCGAATTGATTTTGTTTTTTAATAAATTCGCAAAAACTAGCGGTTTCAGAGAGAAACTCTAGAGAACTTTTTTGTGGCTCATTGAGTTCTCGATAAAAAAGGTCTTTTGGTATTTCCTTTTAAAATCAACGGTTGTTCAGTTAAATCGATAATAGTGGGATCGATGTGGGGAGGACATTCCTGGGGGTGATAAATTAATGAAAATAATTGACGGAGTGTTTAATTATTTAAATTACATATTGCATATGTTTTGGGTACTTGTCGATTCGTATGTGAGGATTCGAAAATCGGCTCTCATGGGATACAGGTGCGTGGGGTATTGATGAATCATTAATTGATGAATCACTAAAAGCTTTCACCGATGCACCGTCACTGTCACCACGGGGTGCACCATAATTCAATATGTATTACATATGTACCAGAGTCACACCAAGGATTCAGCAATAATAATTCTCTATTTACCGATCAAAGTGTTCATCGGATTGGAATCAAAGGGATCGTAATATTCCGGGCATTGTCGTCCCTTCGAGATCTCAATCAGAGAAATGGAGATGAAAATTCCTCAATGAGTCGATGATCTTCGGATCATCTTCAATTATTTTTTTTTCATCTAACAATGGAGATCATTCGACGACACATTCACCGGTAGAAATTCCTGGGTGTCACGTGATGTGATTTTTTTAATACAAAAAAAAAATTATTGTTGATAAAATTAATAATTGCAATTGAATTCATTGACATTAATTGAAGATATCCTGGGGTACTGAGTTGTCATGAGTAATTGAAATTCAAGTTCATTAAGAAAATTAATTTTTTATTTCAATGTATTTTCCATTTTTTTTTATTTCTTTCCTATTTTTTAATTCGTAAAAAAATTTTAATATTCTTATTAATAATAATATTTATTAACTGTAAATAAAATTCCACATTCGAATTGTAGATAATTCGGTGCATTAATTAATGATGACTAATTAAAATTGAGAATTAATTATTGATTTGATTTGGAAATTTCGAGTTCCCAATTTTTCAATTCTTTTCATAAAATTAAAAAAATAATTTGTTGTTAAAATTGATGGGGGCAGTATTGCAGACGCTGTTCTATCTTTTCCATCGGATGCCTTTGGGATCGGAAAGCCCAATTAGATAATCCTTCACGCTAATTATTAATGAATTGGGTCAACCGACCAAGCCGTGGGTAAGAGAGGAAGAACGAAGACCTATTATCCACGCCTTCTCGAGATGCAGTCGGACAGATGTTTATTCGTATCAAACTGATATTTTCTCATTAGAGCAAATCAATTCGACTGAAACAACCGCGCTAAAACGAATTGCGCGAGAGCATGCGCCATAAAAAGACTTTTCTGAATTTTAATTCCTCTAAAAAAAAAATGACAAAACCTCTCCGCCCATCAAAAATAATTAAAACAACAATTACTACTCATTACCAATAAGAGAAAATAAATATTAAAACGAATATAATTAATTAGATTATTGGATTATTCGAAAAAATTGAATTTCCCGGTCAGCGGAGAGGGATTTTTCTAAAATTTGCGGTAAGTGGTCATGAGATTTGAAAAAAAATGTGCAGCGAACGTGCACTTTCCCCGCGCGATAATCTGAAATACGAGAGGATTGATTATTGTCTTCAGGGTCTCTTCAAGTTTATTTTCGCATTTTTCAATCTCGTGTGTGAGGATTAAGGATGAAGTGATGATGTTCAAGATGATATTCGAGAATGGTGTCAAAATGGCTACTTGCATCGCGAGAATCCTGTAATGATCCAATTTTTCTCCCAACTCAATTCACGACCCGAGAGATATTAAAAATATTTAATGTTTAATCATTTAATTAAATTACTCAATAAATCTCCAATCTCCAGATAAATTCGTGAATCAGTCATTTTTCCTGTGAACTCTCCGTAAAAATCCCAAATCTTGGATAATCAATAAAATCTAAAATTGTTTAAATAATTAGGATATGCTGAATTAATTATTTAATGAGTCTAACCCCACACATAAATTCTTAATGAATAATGAAGATTTTCTGAATGAAAAAAATAGCGACACGACCCAAAAAAAAAAAAATATTAAAACGAGATCTGAAAATGGATGACAAGAGGTAGTAATCGAGGCGTGTGAGAGCAGTCCGTAATCGTTAAGTGCCCGTAATTAAATATGACGATAGCCCGGGTCTTTGAATTCCGATGAATAAAAGCCAACGAATTCCCAAAAGATAAAGTTAAATAAAAAGGAATGTATAATCAGGTGGAATATAATTTTCTCCCCAGATGAACAGAATAAATAAAAAATAAATAATTCAAATAAAACAGTCTGCGCCATAAATGTCCGATGTCCATTAAATTGAAAAGCGTTATGAATGACAAAATAACATTAAGGAATAATTAATTGGCAATAAAATATACGAAGGGGTGGGATATTATCTCGGGATTTATCTCGGGATTTATCTCGGGAATGCTGATCGGTGGAATCAATCACCATCCGTTGGCCATTCGATTGAGCATTTCTATTACGCAATAATTACATTCGATTACATTTTAAAGTTGAGGTGGAGGTACTCCAGGGGCTATGATCCCATTGTTTGCAGCTCAATTGCCCAATCACATCTCGTAATCACACCCGTGGGCTTTTTAATATCAACCATTAGGATACGGATTACCCTAGATTACCCTACATGGTTGACTTCCATGGCGTTTATCACATCAGCAAAGTCATTGTCTGATATTAGATACGCTATTTCGGATCACTTGCAATCATCAGAATAATTCTCCGTAATTTTCAAGTGTAAATGACGATTCGCGGGGGTTTTTATGAGAAAAAAATCACTCAATTGCATTCTGTATTAGTTAATGATTCATTACTCCTTCGTGATTACCAATTATCTTCTCCAAGGTAAAACCTAGTTTAAAGAAAATTATAAATTACTCCCGACGAAAAATTACGGGAATTATCAAAACCATTTTCTGTACCCGATAAAATTAGAAGACCGCGTTGTAAATCGGAAAATCCGTTTTGGGGGAGAAAATAAAAATAGCTGGATCGACAAATCACGGATTTTTGTAGAAAGGCTTTCCACAGCTTTCTACAATCTCCCATACACTCTTACAGAAACTGGCCTGGGAAAATTTCATAGGGCGTATCACGAGATCATTTTAAAAGTGACCATGCGTGGTCAAAAGAGCGAGTGCTACCTCACTCCCCGCAGAAAACTAGTTGAAGAAAAAAAAATGTTAAACCGCAAAGGCGTTTTATAAGTCAGCAATAAACCACGGCGCCAAGATACGTAAGTGGAAGTACTTAAAAGTAGCCTAGCAGCTGACGTTAATTATGGTGAACGATGTGAATGCCCGCCTTGTACTGAGGTGGCGCACATTGCTTGCTATTTTTTTTTACCCTCAATGTCCAGATCATCACACGCACGACAGTCTAGTAAATAGACGCTGAAAAATTATCGGATCACTCGACTGGAGCTTTCTGGGTCAATCTCAGAAAGCAATTGCTTTGAACAGCGCCGAAAATCCATGGGATTTAAAAAAAAGACAGGAAATTCCGTGACAAGTGTGGGAAAGGGATTTTTGGCAGGGGGAGATGTCATCCTGGACGCAAAAAATTTTCTGCACGATTTGCGGATATTTTTCTTCGCTGATTAATGCTTTCATTGTAGGACTGGGTTTTAAGTCTCGGTTTTAATTGAATTCATGATTTTTAGGCCCAATGTGTGTCGGATGCGGTCCCACAGGAGTTACTGCTGTCCTGGCTGGACCCGGAAAACGGAAACTGGTCTATGTGTTGTTCGTAAGTGGAAGAATATTTAATAAAAAAATCCACAAACCAAAAATATTCGTCACAGACCAATGAGAACACGAATTCACAAATATTTCAACGGAAAATTATATAATTCTCATAATTCAATGGTAAAAATGTCAGAATGTTCAATGACGTTAAGATTAATGAATGAATAAATGAATTAATGATGAGACACCTTGATTAAGACAATTTCTGTGACATAAAAGATCCATTTAAAGATTCCATTTAAAGATCACTGAAAATGTCATGCAACTTGAAATTTCAGGATGGCTTTTCGATTTTCTCACATTATTCGTCCGATAAAAAATTGAGGGTAATTTCTGTTCTCAGCAATCTGCACAAGACGTTGCGGTCCAGGTCGATGCATCCGTCCAAATGTATGTCTCTGCGAGGGAGGATCGATTGGAGCAGCTTGTCAGTCATCCTCACAAGCTCCCCCAACACGAGGTAATTTTCCAAAAAGAATTCCAACGAATCCCCGATGAATCGTAAGTTTCGGTGACGACATGCCTCTTATCGCCCACGGGAGGGAATTAATCAGACTTTACACTGACCCCAAGGGATTTACAATTTTTCATAATTCCTTCCTGTCCTTTTTCGAATGATTTAGGCCATGATCTTCACAGAGAGCCACAAACTAGTCGTCCTAGTGGTTCTGGAAGCTGCAGGGCACAATGCATCAACGGAAATTGTGTGGATGGTAGATGCCAGTGTAGACCGGGATATCAGGGTGAATTCTGCAATGAGCGTAAGTCACTGGAATCGTCTAATGAGAATATATGACCCCATGAAATTGCGGTGCTTTCATAGAAGTCCGATAGGGAAATCATTGAATTTTTTCCGTCATCACTTCCTCGGAGATCAAAGTACCTTTTACAGTTCCTCACGTGGGACAATTTACAGTTAAATTTATTCTGATCATTCATGATTGTGTAATTTTATGATTAAATAAATTGCCAGTAGGTAATTCTTCTGTAAACGATTCGCTGAATATTCATTGATCAATTCACTCAATTGAGAATAATTTTCAAATAATTCTGATGATTCTTTAGCGATCTGTCGTGAGCCATGCCTGAACCAGGGAAGGTGCATTGGTCCTGACAGATGCGCCTGCATCTACGGCTACACCGGGAGAAAATGCGAAACGGATTACCGTACAGGTCCTTGCTACACTAAAGTCAAGAATGGACAGTGTCTGGTGCATCTCCAGGGTGTTGTCTGCACGAGGCAGATGTGCTGTGCCACCGTGGGGAAGGGCTGGGGACATCCCTGTGAAAGATGTCCTGCGAGACTCGACTGCGAGCTTGGTCACATCAAGACTAATAAAGGAGAATGCGTTGGTCTGAATAATTTCAGCGTTTAAGCAGATCCTCTTTTTTCCACTGAATTGCCAATTGTTAATTGTCAATTGGTTTTTTTAGATATCAATGAGTGCGAGGCGATTCCTGGTCTCTGCGAAGGCGGAAAGTGCGTCAACACCCCGGGGTCGTTTCAGTGCGAGTGTCCTGAAGGACAGGCTAGGGATCTGGAGACTAATGAGTGCAAGGACAGGGATGAGTGCCTGGAAGAAGGTGTTTGTGCTGATGGAAGGTGCATCAATACTCTCGGCGGATTTTACTGCGTTTGCAATCCAGGATTTATCCAGAGTCAAGATCGAACATATTGCATTGGTAATTCATCTCGTTCCAGTCACTATTCCATTTTTTTCGTTATTATTTATTTGTTGATAATTTATTTCCAACTGGTACACTGTTTCTCCATTTGACCATTCGTGCTATTTTTGGGAATACCTCCGAACCTAGTGGAGATACCGGGATTTTTTATAGGACCTTTTTTGTAGCTTCAAATTATCTAGACAGAAAAGATATCCATAAAAATTTTTTTATCTCAGGCTGTTTCGGAGATATTCCGAAAAAACTTACTGGAGAGATTTTTTCATTGAATCAATTTTTGCAGATGGTCGACAAGGATTGTGTTACACAGCTGTGAATCACAACGGACAATGCAAAAATCGTTTGGGCATGAGGCTGAGTAAAAAAGATTGCTGCTGCGGTAAAAATATGGGGAGAGGCTGGGGCGAGGAGTGCTATATCTGTCCAGATCCTGGAAGTGGTGAGAAAAAGAAATCGCAAAAAATAAACACCACCTCCAAAAATATTCCAACAAAAACGTCCATTAGCTTTCAATCACAGCAATGACTATTGGACAAATTGTTATTATTTTATTGTCTCCAATTGAAGTGAAACTTTTTTATTCCAGATGACTACAACAAAATCTGCTCCGAGGCCCAGCACATCGCCATAAACGAGTGCGTTTTTCGCCCAGACATTTGTGGCGGTGGAAAATGTATCGACACAGAAGATGGTTACGAGTGCGATTGCTTCCCGGGGTACGTCAAGCATTTGGGACGGTGCGAAGACGTCGACGAGTGCCAGGAGGGCTACTGCGAGGGTGGAACGTGTCAAAATCTTCCTGGGAGCTTCCTCTGTCATTGTCCCCCTGGTTTTGTCGTGTCCGGTGAGGGGAAGTACTGCAGTGGTGCGTGCAAAAATTCCGCAAAACTTCCAATTATCATTATTATTTAAATTATTGTTATAAACTGTTGAATTAATTCAGTTTCGCAAGTTGATTGAACGATTTCTATTACACTTGTGACACTCATTACTAATCATTAGTTCCCGACAGTTTGGAATAATTGCAACAAGTGGTGATAAATTTTAAATTGATCGTCAATGAATTTTTCCTAGATCACGACGAGTGTCAGGACACGGGAATGTGCACAAATGGTCACTGTACGAACATGAATGGGTCATTTCGGTGTCAGTGCAATGACGGGTACATTCTATCGCCATCGAAGAACACATGCACTGGTGAGTCTACATTGAATAAATATTATCGACTGAATTTTCTCCTGTGATACCTTTCACCACCGTGAATTTACCTCAGTGCGCGGATACAGTGGATAATTTACAAGTCGACAGTTTATCACTCTGAAATAGACTGCGCGTGGTATCGAGAGCATTAAGAGGATAACAAGCGGGTGTTCACCACGAATGCGGAAGCCCCGGAGGCTACTGAGTCCACTGATGATACCCTGTCCAATATTTTTAACGTATTTCATGCTCCTAGCGATTAAATAGGTGAAAAATTCCGAGAGGATTGATCGATCAATTCTGCATGCTTCAGGTTGAGGGGAAAATGCCCCGCTGTGGGCTCACGATAAATCATGAAGTACATTTATCCTAGAATAAGTGATTTCAATAGGTTTCGAGATATATTTTTTCATATCTACGACACCTAGGGGGAAATTATTTATTCCATCACGAATAGCAGACGAAATTTTTAAAAAAATACGTGAGAAAATTTATTTTTCCTTTCTGTTCATTCCCTTCAAAAAGAATCATTCACAAAAATATCCATACAAAATAAAAAAGTCATTGATTACATTCTGACTAATCCTGATTACCAGGACGCTGGAATCAACGAATTTTTTCGGAAGTCCGTAATGTCTCTGAGAAAAATCCCAGATCAATGATTTTTTTTTGTTGAAATTTCCAAAATATTTCTTCCAGACATAAACGAGTGTTTGGAGAATCCCCGAATCTGTCTGAACGGCAGATGTGAGAATACCCCTGGTTCGTACCACTGTGTGTGCCAATCTGGATTCACGCCGTCAGGCGATAACACCTTCTGCGTGGACATGGACGAGTGTTCAACAACAGGGATGTGCAACAACGGTAGATGCGTGAACATGGAGGGCTCCTTCAAGTGCGTGTGCGATTCGGGTTTTCGTCTTGGTCCAGACCAGAGCCACTGCATCGACATAGACGAGTGCCTGAGCGCGCCATGTCAAAATGGCCGGTGCAAGAACACACCGGGTAATTTCAAATGCGAGTGTAACCTGGGATTTGATCTCGGGCCAGACGGTCGATCCTGCCTGGACACACGCCGCGATCTCTGTTACTCTCAATACCGGGACGGTCAGTGCTCGAACCCAACATCAACAGCAGTGACAAAATCGAGCTGCTGCTGCTGCACAATAATCCTGGGTCAGCCCCTGGGCTGGGGAAGCAGCTGTCAACGCTGTCCCACCCCGAATACCCCTGAATTCGACGCTCTCTGCCCCCACGGCGCCGGTATGACGTACAACGGTGACGACATAAACGAATGCGCCCAGAATCCCAACATCTGCGTCAACGGCGGCTGCGAGAATCTGATGGGAACATATCGCTGCATCTGCGACAGCGGCTACGAGTTGGACTCCACTGGTAAGATCTGCAGCGATATCAATGAGTGTGACCTAGAGCAGTCCCTCTGCAGCGGTGGTCAATGCCGAAATACACCGGGAAGTTTTCAATGTGTATGCCCAACCGGCACGAGATTAAACAGCGCTAACCAGATGTGCGAGGATATCGACGAGTGTGACGAACTCGGGGCTGATGTCTGCATCAACGGCATCTGTATCAACACGAAGGGCTCCTACCAGTGCGAGTGCTCCAGTGGCTACATCCTAGACAACACCGGTCACATATGCATGGACAACAGACGAGGCACCTGCTGGACAAAAATCATAGACGGAAGATGCGAGAATAATTTCCCGAGACTAGCACTGAAGTCAGAGTGCTGCTGCTCGGTTGGCGTCGCCTGGGGCAGCCCCTGCGAAACCTGTGATTACTCACTCTGCGAGTGCTCTAAAGGATACGCTAAGGTAGATGGCAAGGCCTGTGCTGATATCAATGAGTGCGAGCTCAACACGGGAATTTGCAAGGGTGGAGGAACTTGTGTAAATACTGATGGCTCGTACAGGTGTGAGTGCCCACCGGGACTGACCCTCGATGCCACCCACACGACCTGCATCGATACCAGACAGGAGACGTGTTTTATGGATTATCGGCATGGACAGTGCACCAGTCCCATTGAGGGTCGCTTCTTCAAAAGTATCTGCTGTTGCTCCGTGGGACGAGCCTGGGGCAGCGACAAGTGTGAGTTATGTCCCAAGCCGGGAACACAGATGTTTACTGAGCTGTGTCCCAAAGGGGATGGATTCACAGAGAAGATCGATATCAATGAGTGCATCGAGTTCCCTGGTATGTGTCAGAATGGACGGTGCAAAAATACCGTGGGAAGCTACAGCTGTCGATGCAATCAGGGATACGCTCTTGATGAGAATGGAATAAAGTGTAATGACATCGATGAATGTGAAATAATGCACGGGGTATGCGGTAACGGCACCTGCGTTAACACCCCTGGTACATTCCAGTGTGAGTGCGACGAGGGATACAGGGGCTCGGACATCATGAAGGTATGCATGGACATCAACGAATGCGAGGAGACACCTGGTCTCTGCAGGGGTGGCACCTGCAGAAATACCGAGGGAGGGTACAAGTGCATCTGTCCACCGGGACACGAGTTGAGCCCTGACAAGCTCTCCTGCAAGGACATTGACGAGTGCTCGAGAACGAGTGGCATCTGCTCCAACGGCGTCTGCGAGAACATGATGGGAACGTATCAGTGCATCTGCGACGACGGCTTTCGGCAGACTGGGCTCAAGTCCCACTGCGAGGATATCAACGAGTGCGCGGTGAACAATGGTGGCTGCGAGGATGTCTGCACGAATACTCCTGGGAGTTTCACGTGCTCCTGCGGCCCGGGGCTTGCTATTAATTTGGATGGACGGACGTGTTCGGATGTTGACGAGTGCAAGGAGAACCCGAGAATATGCAACGGGGGCAAGTGCAGTAATTCCGTAGGAACTTATTCCTGTCACTGCACCCAGGGTCTGCTTCCTGGAAATGATGGCACCTCGTGCATTGACATCGACGAGTGCGTTACGCAGCCCAGGGTGTGTGGCTACGGTGAGTGCAGAAACACCATTGGATCGTTTGATTGTCGGTGTGATGAGGGATACTCTGTCAAACCCGACGCCGGCCCAGACTGCACGGATGACGACGAGTGTCTTCTCAATGATCACTCGTGCAGTGAATTCGCTGCCTGTCAGAATACTCCGGGATCCTATCAGTGCACCTGTCACAACGGCTTCACGGGCAATGGCCTTGAGTGCAGGGATATCAACGAGTGTCTTGTCAATAATGGAGGATGCGATATGAATGCCCAGTGCATCAATACCGAGGGCTCCTTCAAGTGCGTCTGCGACGCTGGGTTCACGGGGGATGGATACACCTGTCGTGACATTGACGAGTGCACCAATGATCCCACTTTGTGCGAGAATGGACACTGTCTCAATTATCCGGGCTCTTTCAGATGTGAATGCGAAATGGGATTCATGCATCCTGATGAGAATAATGAGCAGGCCTGCATTGATATCAATGAGTGCGATATGTTCAGGAATCTGTGCGTCTATGGAAAGTGTGAGAATATATTTGGTATGTTCAGGTGTGAGTGTGCGGATGGGTACAAGTTGGATGGATCCGGTGGTAACTGTACGGATATTGACGAGTGCGAGAGTCCCCAGGCTTGTCAGTACGGCAAGTGTGTTAATACTCAAGGAACCTACAGGTGCGAGTGCCCGGTTAATCATGAACTGGTTGAGGCAGGTAATGCTTGTGTCGATCGTCGAGAGTCACTATGTTTCACCGGTGATGAGCGCGGTACTCGTCGTCCGCAGTGTGTCTTCGACATGTCCTCCTCCGTGACTAAAGCCACCTGTTGCTGCAGCATTGGAAATGCCTGGGGTACCCGTTGCGAAGAGTGTCCAGAACTTGGTACCAGAGAATTTGAGGACTTGTGTCCCGGTGGTTTGGGTTACCGGCCAAATCGAGTGACAGTCATCCTCGAGGATATCAACGAGTGTGAGGAGCATGAGAACCTGTGTCAGAATGGCCACTGCACCAACACTTTCGGGAGCTTCATGTGCTCCTGCAATGAGGGCTTTATCCTCGACGCTACGAAGACGAGCTGCATTGACATCGATGAGTGCTCGTTACATCCTCAAATCTGTGGAGTGGGTTACTGCATCAATGACCAGGGTAAGTATCACTGCGAGTGTCCAGAAGGCTATATGTCGATGCCAGGTGGCAAGGAGTGCGTGGACATGCGAAAGGAATTATGTTACATGAAATACGAAAGTGGTGAGTGTACCCACTCGATGGTCCATCCACAGACGAAGATGTTGTGCTGTTGCTCGATGGGTGCGGCGTGGGGTCAGCCCTGCGAGAGATGTCCAGGTGAACGAACACGTGAACACGAGATTCTCTGTGGAATGGTACCTGGACAAATCATGAATCCCATCACCAATCATACTGAAGAGATAGATGAGTGTTCCCTGATGCCGACAATGTGCACACATGGAAGGTGCATCAATACACCGGGTAGCTTCGAGTGCCAGTGCGACATCGGTTACGTCTACGATGAGGACTCCCACCAGTGCATCGATGAAAATGAATGCCAGCAGACGCCTAATCCATGCTCCGGTAACGCCCAGTGCATCAATCTCCAGGGCACCTTTGAATGCCGATGTCCAGTCGGTTACAAATTGGGAATAAGTCAGCGCAGCTGTGTCGACATAGACGAGTGCTTTGAGAGACCTGGAATTTGTGCCAATGGTATCTGCAATAATCTTCAGGGTAGCTTCCAGTGTGTCTGTCATTTGGGCTTTGCTCTCACTCGAGATCGAGACTCATGCGTCGACATCGATGAGTGTCAGAGGAATCTCAACATCTGCAACAATGGCACATGCATCAATACCCTGGGGTCATACAAGTGTCAGTGCTACGAAGGTTTCAAGCTGAGCCCGAATAATGATTGCGCAGATATCGATGAGTGCAGAGTGATGCCGTTCTTGTGCAGAAACGGTAGATGCAGAAATGTCGTTGGCTCGTTCATATGTGAGTGCGCTGATGGATACATCCTGGCTCAGGACGGACAGCATTGCAGGGACATCGATGAGTGCGTCGAGATACCGGGTCTCTGTCCCTATCCTGGCAAGTGTCAAAATCTCATGGGCTCGTACATATGCAGCTGTCCTCCAGGCTACGAGCTTGACAGCAGTAAGAAGAGATGCGTCGACGTAGACGAGTGCGTGGAGACCCGGAATATCTGTGAGAATGGAAAATGCATAAACACCGAGGGTGGCGTTATCTGCGAGTGTCCCGAGGGCTACAAACTCAGTGACAAGTGGAATTCCATGACCTGCATCGACGTCAGGGAGGAGCAGTGCTACGATAAATTCAGGCGAGGACAGTGCATGGCCCCGAGATTGGGTGGTATGACTAAGAAGCACTGTTGCTGCACGATGGGCAAGGCCTGGGGACGGAACTGCGAGATGTGCCCGAGGGAGGGAACAGATGACTTCAGGAGTCTCTGCCCAGAGGGTCCAGGACGAGACGACACTGGTGTCGATTTGAATGAATGTCTTTTTATGGAAGACGTTTGTCACGGTGGCGACTGCATCAACACCGATGGCTCGTTCCGGTGCGAGTGCCCCCCTGGCTACACCCTCGACGAGACAGGACGGAGGTGTGTCGACCAGAACGAGTGCATTCACAATCAGAACATCTGTGGAAATGGCACCTGCTCCAACGTTGAGGGGGGATTCGAGTGCTCCTGCAGCAGTGGCTTCACACCGGGTATCAATCAGGTCTGTGAAGATGTAAACGAGTGCCTGGAGATGGGGAATCAGTGCGCCTTCAGGTGTCACAATGCACCTGGTTCCTTCAGGTGTATCTGTCCTTATGGATACGTTCTAGCAGCGGATGGAAGGCACTGCATCGATGTCGACGAGTGCTCAACACCAGCAAATAATTGCAAATTCCAGTGTAAGAATCTCATCGGTAGCTTCATGTGTATCTGTCCACCAGGATATCAGCAGATTGGAATGACTGATGAGTGCAAGGACGTTGATGAGTGCTCCGTAAATTCTGGACTGTGCAGAAACGGCCGGTGTGTTAATCTTGAGGGGAGTTATCAGTGCAGGTGTTATGATGGATTTGAAAGCAGTCAGGATGGTAAGTCATGCATTGATAGGAGAGTTGGTTACTGCTTCCTGAGGACAACAAGTGGCAGGTGCACTGCGAGAACATCCGAATTAAAAACAGTCACAAAAGCTGACTGCTGCTGCACCATGGGCGCTGCCTGGGGAGCTCACTGCGAACTCTGTCCCTCGAGGGACTCTGATAATTATAATGAACTCTGTCTGGATAAAGGGTTCTCCCTCGACGGACAAGACATCGACGAGTGCCGAGCAATTCCTGATCTGTGCAGAAATGGTATATGCATCAATACTCTGGGATCATTCAGGTGTATTTGTAATAAAGGATACAGAGCGGACAGGACAGGGACGCAGTGCCATGATGTCAATGAATGCGAGTTAACACCTAGTCCTTGTCAATTCAGCTGTCAGAACACGGAGGGGAGTTTCACGTGCTCGTGCTCTGTTGGATTTATTCTGAATTCCGATGGCGTGGGCTGCAGAGATCTTGATGAGTGCGCCACTGGGAATCATTTGTGCCAGCAGAAGTGCATAAACACAGAGGGAAGTTACACATGTGGATGCAGGGATGGCTATACCCAGCATGGAGATGCTTGTCATGATATCAATGAATGCGAACAGCACGGAACGTGTCCCAAACCTGGTACATGTATCAATACACTTGGCAGTTTCCGGTGTATTTGTCCAAGAGGTTTTAAACTCGATCACACGGGCAAATTCTGCACTGATAATAACGAATGCAGTGACGATGGAACTTGTGAGCATGGATGCCAGAATTTCATGGGCACTTATCGGTGCGGATGTCCGGAAGGATTTGTTCAGCATCTTTATTATAATCAGTGCATCGATGAGAATGAGTGCAATAGTTCACCCTGTGGGGAGAGTAATTGTATTAACACTCTGGGGAGCTACAAGTGTGGATGCTCTGAGGGTCATCAGTTTGACAACAATCGTCAGAGTTGTGTTCAGGTGAGTGCTGGATGTGTGGGGAGTCCTTGCGCTTTTGGCTGCATGGCCACTGGATCCAATGGATTTTTATGCGGCTGTCCCAGTGGATATCAACGCATTGGCCAGGGACATTGTCTCTCCACGATTAATCCAATGGCTCAAGGAGGATACAGAGAGGACATCGGTAATGTTCCGACCTACGTCATCAATCCGGATCCATATCACATTCCACCGGCTGACGACAAAATTATTTCCACGGAAGGATGCTTCTCGTGCAAGGTTATTGTCAATTATTTTATCAATGATTTTGGTCGATTCAATTTCGGGTAGAAATATTTTGTCGGTTTATTTATAGATTAATGGGAAGGAGAGGCACAGAAGAGGCACCAAAATTCGACATGGCAATCACACGATTGCTCTCGCGCATTTTTCAACGGGGAGTAGAAAATTCCGACAGCTGTCGAAGAAATCGATACTTCGAAAAGGAAGAAGGCATCATCATGGAGAGGAATATGTTATGAAACTCCATCTCAAACAGACGAAACATAAAATGCGCATAATAAAGTTGCAACCAGCGCTCAAGGTGATTCGAAAATTTATTGAGTAATTGTTGATTTTTTTAATGAATTTTTCTGAGATGCAAAATCTTTGTAAAAAATTGATTCATCTCTCAAGGAATTCTTGAAAACCTCAAAATCGCTCAGGGTTCATAAAATTTTTTATAGCATTATTATTTTATTAATTTTTTTTGTTCGTGGGAATTTGTTTTTTTTTTTCAAGGACGAAAAAATGGAGTACACGATAGTAAAAGGGAACAAAGCGAATCACTTCGAGGTGGCGATGGACAAGGGTGGAATATGGGCCCTGCACTTCAGACATCAATTGAAAAAAACTGGTGAATTCAAAGTCGTCATCCATGGCCGGCCAGTCAACGGGATAACAGCTGAGAACGAAATCTGGGAGAAACCTCTGACATTCAGAGTTCACATCGTCGTAACGGCGTAAAATCTCTACAATGTCGAAACACTATTTTCCAAGCTCGAAAAACGAACAGAATAGAAAAAAAAATCGAGGTAATACACGGAATTCAAATTTCACCAGTTAAAAAATTAATAGAAGATCGGATTTTTATTTTCGCACTGAAATTATCGATTTTATTTACTTCGAATAACAAAATTAATGAAATATCATAATTAAAGTAAAATAGAAACAGAATAGAATGATAGAGTCTGCTCATTTAATTTTGATAGAATTCTTATGAAGATGTTCTTCTGTTGAAGATTTTCAATTTATCGTAATGTGCCTCGAGGAATTTCTATTCTCACACTGCCAAAATATATAATATATATTCGTTCTTAATTAAACCCGAAACGCTTGCCAAGTATTCAATGTGACAAAAAGATCTATGAAATTGTGTTCGATGAAATTTGTGTTCAGACTGTAATTGTCTCAGAAAAAATATTTAAATGATGAATTATAAGACGTACGAAGTATAATTTCCTGGAAAAATGAGACTCACGCATTAAGAAATTATATTGAAATCCGTAAACCTTCAGTTCAAAAAATGAAAAAAAAAAACATTTTTTACAAAGAACATCTTAAATAAATTTTTGAATTATCTAAAAAAATAATAATTCGGCATTTAAACATTTCTATTGCCAGTAAATTGACGAATAAATGGAGGAATTCTTCCCTGGCAGTTCAATAGATTTTTTACGGAGTGTCTAAAATTTTTCCACGAAATATTCTCGCATGTAAAACTGAGAGCTGAGGAAGAAGAAAAAAAAATTGGTCCTAGCAGAGGCCAAAGTGTTCAAAGAGGTCTCAGTTAGACTCCAACTTCTACGTATTTTTATACCAAACGATTAATCAATCACGAAATTGAATTTTTTACGTTGAGAGATGGAAGATGCACGTGTTCTTTTCGCTATTTTTCCAATACTTTTTTTCTCTCATTAGTGTACAAATAAGGGAATGAAAAGAATATATATATTAATGTAGAATTGTAATTTTTATTGTCTGTAGATCGATTATAAATACATGTTATTTATACCAGAGAGAATATTGTGGTTTTATTCTGGAATGCTTTTTTTTATTCCAAATTTCAAAGCCATTGCGTAGTGATAGTCGTGCCCAGGGTAGAGAATGTTGGATGGAAAATGGTTAAAGTTCACGGAGTCCGGATAATTTCGAGGAGAAATTGAGAATCCAGAGTGTCTTTTGTACATAACACCACCCTTGGCAGGAATTCCAGAAGATTTACCCCTCGAATTATTATTCTTATCTCGTCTGCAAGGACTTTCGCTCCTGTCCCAGTAATGAAGATCCTCCTGGAGTCGGGGGAATTCGTTGGCTGTATAAAAATGTAGTCCAGCCTGATTGGAATTCACTTCCAATACTCTCCCAGAATCCGGATGCAATACCCTTCACAAAACCACGAAGAAATCATTTTCTTTTTCAGAAAAATCAGAAGAGAGAAAATTCAGTTCATCGAACATTCACCTAGCGTGAAATCTGTAACACAAAGTGCTGGGAGAATTGACACAGAAAAAATGATCGTATCCACCCCCGGGGATGCTCTCCAGCCTCTTCAGGTTCAATTCCGTGGGAGTTCGAAGGTCGAATTTCGTTTTGCGAACGGAGCGAACAGCTCCACTGGGTAATTTTGTTCTCACATCAGAGTGCAGCCACTTGCTGGCATTAATGGAGACCACATGTTTGTTGAGCTCCTCAGAGCCCATGCCCTATTTAACCCATCACACATTTTTTATGAAATTGCAACAAGAATTTTCGAATAAATTCTGCTCACATGGCCCGCGAGATTGAAGAGACAGAAGGAGGTGATGTCCACGGGTGTCGGTCTGGTACAGCTCGCCCTGAGGTCCATGAAAAGCTCGTTGTTATCGCTCCAGCTGTATTTAACTTGAGTCAGCACTTCTCCAGGATGAAATCTGTCATTTCTACTCAAATGAGACATGACCTGACCAAAATTAAATTAATTAAAATTAATATAAAGAAAATCTGAATTGTTCTCCATAAATTTTTAAACATGAAATAATTATTTCCATTTTTCTGCAAAACAAATTGAATTAAAGACAGAAATTTTTCGTCATGGAAAAAAAAAACAATATACCGCCGAATAAAAAACCGGTTGAATTATTTTTTAAGGCAATCGTTTCGTTTTAATTGAATTTTCACCACTTGCCACTTGTTCTCCGAGGATGTAGCTGTCCCAGTTGACGCTATCAAATCCTGGGGATTTATTATTGATTCCTGAGACAAGAGGATCGTGTGATAAGCTAGGAGAAATATCAGTAGACACACGTCTTGTCACACGACCCAGAATCCTCCCCACATGTCGATTATTCCAATATCCTTCCAATTAATATAATTGATTAATAATCATCATCTCACAACTGCCGTATTTCCTATTTTAAAATTCCAAACAGCAGATTCATCAGAGAAAATTGAATTAATCCATCTGAACTCATGAATTATTTTGATTTCTGAATAATTTCATTTAAACAATTATATTATTTACCATCGATGTCGTCGAATCCCAGGACAACATCTCCGAGGATTCCCCGATAATTCGGCACCCGAATCCCCTGGATGCCAGCACCCCACGTGATTAGAGTCACCGATGCTTTCGTCTTATTAGTCAATGTATATCTTAGTGAATTTTGCTCAGTTATAATGACTCTCTGGGTTAATAATTCATCAATTACCTCTTAACAATTTCAAAATTTCTGTTATCATCGGTGATGATGGGAATAACTCCGAATCCATCCTCGTCGATTATTGTTCCTTCGGTGGTCATTCTGCCCTTTTTTTTATTCCACAGATTGATGTCACTGGAGATTTAAATATAATAAATATTAAAAACATGAAGAGCGTAATCATTAAATCGCTCATTTCAGATCATTAAGTGCATGTATTTACCGGATTCCAACTCCAGTGATAACGATTTTTTGAAAGCTCTCTTTTCTGTTGAAAATTGTTTGCAGAAAAATCGTTATTCGATTTTTAAATGATTTTTATTGAAAATCGGTGACGGAAATAGATGTCCATGTCGATTAATTTTTGGTAATCGTTATTAATCCAATAATTTTCATTTTCTTGATACATCATTCTGAAGTTGTGATGTAGCGTGTGTCAGCAGAAGTACCGGTGACTCATTCCAATGACTTCGCGAATTCATAACACTTCAGTAAAATAATTAATAACAATAACCGGTTGATTGTCCAATAATTCGACGCAATAAATGTTTCTCACAAAAAAAAATGTCATCACGAACCAATCAGTAAACTCTGCTTTATTCCTAGAAAGCGCATTCTTCCATTGACTCTCAAAAAATGATTTTTATATTTATAAAGTCCCTCTCATATCTCTTTAAAAATATTTTACTGCTCGGATGGATCGTGATAACACTCGTGGACTATCGCAACGGTTTGCCTCTAAAGATTCCAAAGTGGTGAATATTTAAAAAATAGCTAGACTATAAAACACCGATACTATTCCTCCGAGACTTCAGTCTCCCTCCAGACACGACCTCGAGCTCATCAACATGGTGAATCGCAATCCGGTGATAAAGTACACGAAGATTTTTATCAACAATGAATTTGTTGACGCAGCAAGTGGAAAAACATTTCCGAGCATCAATCCAGCAACAGAAACTGTCGTCGCACAGATATCCGAAGGTGATAAGGTACGAAAAAATAATTTTCCTATCAGGAAGATTGTCAATACCATTTGCCTTCTGGTTTTGTATTGCGAGTTATAAATAATTGATATTTTCCCTGAGTCATCTAATTTAAAACGACATTAGAGTGATTAATGAAACGATAAATCATTCATTAGATTGCGCAATAATAATGAATTACTATTTATAATTTATCTCAGGCCGACGTAGATAAAGCAGTTATCGCAGCAAAAAGTGCATTCCAACCAGGATCACCCTGGAGACGCCTAAAACCCGGTGATCGCGGTATTCTCCTCAATAAGGTACTGGAAAAAATAATTAAAACTATAAAAAGAGTGGGTAATGGTCTTGTAATTGTAAATATTCTTAATGCGAGTGAATCAGTTGGCAGATTTGATAGACCGCGATGCTGAAGAGATTGCGAGTATCCAAACGTTGGAGAACGGCAAGCCCTGGAAGATGGCACTGGGTGAAATCCGAGTGTCAGCAGCGGTGCTGAGGTACTACGCTGGTTGGGCTGATAAAATTCACGGGGAAACCGCGGAAACAGGTGAGTGCAGGGTCTACTGATACCTGAAAAAACTGTCAGACAGACTGGAGATGATGAGCATGATTTTCCAGATGACAAGAGCGTGGTGATGACCAGGAGGGAGCCAATAGGTGCTGTTGGACAGATTACACCGTGGAATGGACCAATTGCTCTTCTGGGGTTCAAGTGGGGTCCAGCACTGGCTGCTGGATGCACCATAGTTCTGAAACCTGCGGAGCAGACCCCGTTGTGTACCCTCCATGTCACCGCTTTGACGAGGGAAGCTGGATTTCCACCTGGTGTTATCAACGTCGTTCCTGGATATGGACCCACTGCTGGCGCCGCTGTCTCTGAACATCCGGACATCACGAAAGTTGCCTTCACCGGATCTGTCGAGGTGAGAGGATCTTCGTATTAATTAATCGATGAACTTCACCGAAAATTCCCAAAGTTTGCCCAAAAGTTTATAAAAATAGACGCACGACTATGAAAATTCGTGAGCGATTTCTGTAGCTTTTGTTCTTCTCTTATCAAAAGGTTGGAAAAAAAATAATGATAGCTTCGGGTACCACAAACCTGAAGCGCGTGACGCTGGAGCTCGGTGGGAAGAGTCCCCTCGTCATCTTCGATGATGCCAATGGTGAATATTCAATCCCTCCCGATTTATCAACGATTTTTCCAATCAACCGATTGCATTCTCTCCTTGCAGTTGATGAAGCTGTTAAAATAGCCCACAACGCAATCTTCGCAAATTCTGGACAAATTTGCATTGCAGCCTCACGGGTTTTCGTTCAATCAAAGATCTACGATGAATTCGTCAAGAAATCAAAAGCAATGGCGCTGAAAAGAAAACTCGGTGATCCATTTGATCCCACGACTGAGCAAGGACCACAGGTTGACGATGAGATATTCGAAAGGGTCATGGGTTATCTCAAGGTAGGAGTAGCGGAAGGAGCAACTCTGGAAGTCGGTGGGAAGAGATTTGGAACACTTGGGTATTACATTCAGGTGAATTTCTATTTTTAATAATTGACTTTCCATGCGGTACGTCAATCACCCAATCATTTTCCAGCCCACAATCTTCTCAAACGTCAAGGACAACATGAGAATTGCTCGTGAGGAGATATTTGGACCTGTTCAATCGATTTTCAAATTCGATACGATGGAGGAAGTCATCAAACGAGCCAATGACACCACTTATGGTCTCGGTGCTGGTGTTATCACCAATGATATCAATAAAGCTCTCAAATTCGCTCAAGCTGTTGAATCAGGAAGTGTTTGGTACGTCGTCATTGTCTTCATCATCTTCATGTACTGATTTGGAATGTATTCATTGTTTTCAGGATCAACCAGTACGACGCCATCTGCCCACAGGCGCCATTCGGTGGATGGAAGCAATCAGGAATTGGACGTGAATTGTGAATAATCCCCCAATTATTAATCATTATTAATTATTAATTATTAATCATCATACTCTCATTTTCGAATTAATCATTGAGTTATCGTCGGGTTCAATGATTCATTTTTTTGTCGAGGGAGAAGGGCAATTGCTGAAAAATTTAATGGAGTACTCATTCCTTTTTTTTCAGGGGCGAAGAGGCATTGAACAGTTATTTGGAGACTAAATCAATCCACATCAGGCTGTCTTAAAGAAACATTATTTATCCAATAAATAATAGACTTGGATCATTTTTTTTTGGTAGATATAATTAATAATTTGTAAAATCAAGAATGTTTCAGCTATTTATGAAACAGTATCTGAAGAGATCACGGGACAGGGTTATTCAAGGATTACGACCGATGATTCGTTGAACCGTGAAGCCATAAATAAACAATAATTACAGAAAATAATGGAATTGAGATGAGTGAATTGAAAATGCGAGGAGTGTGAGGTGTTTAAAGGCCGTGGATGAGCACTAGATCTTGTTCAGTCCAAAATTAGTGCTCTCATCTCGTTCAGTCGAAGCCTTTTGTTATAAAAAAAATTGTTTAACTCTCGGAGCTAGTGGATTACACGGGGATCATGACGATTGACTTCGAGCAGACAGTAATCAAGTAAACTAACAGATTGTTTAATTGTTTAATCATTGTTCACTTGAATTGTCCAGTTATTCATTCAACTTTCAATTTTTAATCCCCAATTTTCAAATCAATTTTTAAAATTGATAAATTATATATTTTATTTTATTAATTTATGGATATATTAAAAAAAAATTCACGGCCATTTGTTACGGGGTCGTAATTGTTCCCTTTACGATCGTCACTAATGACAGAGACAATCCAATAATTAACTCGATTTTTTCTCGTACGATCACCGGAATTTTCTGAAATCCTTACGTCACTCAACTCAAAAGTCATGAAAAATATTCAGAATCTTCAGATTGAACTTCACTCCTGCATGATCATTCAACTCCTTGTGAATTGTTCCTGAAATGTTTATGAAATGTATTGAAAAAATAAAATGAAAACCCAAATCATGAATCAATTAAATTCTCCCAATTATTAATTACCCTGATATCCGTATCGCGCAGAGGATTCAATCAAGAAAAATCCTTCATCTTCAGAAATCCGATCTGGTGGAAACGCAGATCCTCTCTGGAGCGTGGACTGATGGTTGCAGTTATTTCTGCAATTTTTTTGTGCTTTACCTCATCAATTGGAATTGGTATTATGATAATGAAATTTGTCTCGCCCCGTGGAAATAATGAATCCGCCAGTGAGTTCTTCAATTCAATTCCATTACAGAACCAATTTCTTTTTAAAGTTGATAATTAATTTTGATTTATTAAATGTAAGTGAAAGCGAAAACCTTTTCAAGACTCTGATAATTTTTTTCATTGCGCCAAAAATTCTGCAATAAATAATAATTCATTAAAAAATTTTCAAGGTGTCTGCACAACTCCAGCTTGTGTTCACGCTGGTGAGTAAATTAAACCGATGACTTAAGAAATTTATTTTACAAGAAAATATATGAAGTGTATGAAAAAATAATAAAAAACACAAAACCGTGATATTTTTTTATATTAATCCCATGAATAATTTGGTAAAAAAAAAATAAAAAACCTGTATATGGGTTAAAAAAATCGTGTAAATTCGTATTTAACAGATTTATTTTGCAATATTCAGCTTCGATGATCTTGAAAAATATGGACAAAGAGGTGGAGCCGTGCGACGATTTTTACAGATTCGCGTGCGGTGAATTTTTAAAAAATTCCGTCGTACTCGATAATGAGATCGAGATCGGTACTTTTTTCGACATGGATAACCGAGTCCGACAGCAATTAAAGAAGATCATCGAAGAATCCAATGCAACGGAGCCAAAAGCATTGAGACTCGCCAAAAACTTGTACAAATCCTGCATGAATGCCCGTACGTGCAATTTATTTATTACCAGGGAATAAAATTAATTAATTTATCGACTCCGCTGTTCATCTCGAAACCGTCAGTGATATATTTATTTTTATATATTTATTTTATTATATATATATTTATAATTTCCAGCTGCAATTGAAGATCAGAATTTCAATCGACAGCTGCATGACCTGAAGAGGCTTGGGGGATGGCCAGTGATGGAAGGGGACCAATGGGACGACCAATCCTTCGACTGGATCCAATCAATCTCCAAATCCCGTGACCTAGGGTATTCTGTTGATTATTTATTTAAACTAAAGATCGACTGGGACTTGGTGAACAATTCTAAAAGAGTCATCTACGTATGTTAATCACCAATAATCACTCGTAATCATTAAAATCATTACTGATACTGAGTGATCATTCATAGATTGATCATAAAAATTTCAGCTGGACGAAGGATCTGTGGAATCTCCTTATATGGATGATTATAACAATTATCTAGCTAATATTGCAATATATTTTGGAGCTAATTCAACAATCGCAGAGGAACAATCACGCGAATGTATCGACTTTAAAGAAGCGATCTGGAATGTTAGTTCAAATTTTATCTAAATCTTTTATTAATTCAACGGATTAATTAATTGATTAATTAATTGATTAATTCATCAATAATCAATTCATTCATTCATTTATTCGTTCAATTAATTAATTAATTAATTGATTCATTTTTCCCTTCATCAAACAAAGAGATTAGTTATCAAATAATCAAATTATTGATTCGATAAACGGAATATAGGAATAATTTAATTGAGAAAAAAAAAGAAACCATAAATTGCATGATTAAATTATCTAGGCAACTCTGTCGAGTGAAGAACGTGGTAACTATTCATTGATCTACAACCCCATGACGATTGCTGAACTGTCCGAGTCTCACCCGAGCATCCCCTGGAAGAGATACTTTCGCGAGATGCTTCCACCATCCATTCCCGTCGAAGACAACGAAATCGTCATCGTCATGGCTCCCAGTTATGTCAAGACTCTGGACATCCTGATGAACACGACATCCAAGAGGGTGCAGGCCAACTACCTCATGTGGAGAACAATCGAGGAATCGCTGATATATCTACCTGATTTCACCAGGAGCTTTTTCTACGGGGAGATTTCCTGGAAAGAAGAAGAGATGAAATCCCGATGGGAGAGGTGCCTCGAGGTGGTCTTGCAGAAACTTCCTGTTAGCCTCGGGGTTATTTATGTTCGAGGGATATTCCATGAGGAATCTAGGGGAAATATCAAGGAAATCGTTGACAATATTCAGCAGAAGTTTCGTCTGATTGTCCAGGAGGTCGACTGGGTGGACGATGAAACCAGAAAAAATGCTCTGTCCAAAATCGATGCTATGAAAATAATAATTGCTTATCCAGATGAGTTCCTAAATGACAGCAAACTCGAAGAGTACTATCTAAATCTGGAAGTCATTGATCATGATTATCTGACCGGGATTTCAAATATCACGGCTTTCAACACCGGAATATCTTTGGGTAAATGGAAATATCATAACGACACCGATTGGACGAACTACGGCACAGCCTCTGACGTCAATGCTTGCTATAATCCCGAAATTAATCGTGCGTGTGAGTATTTTATTTATTAAATATCTAGAAAATAATTGAATTTTATAATTAACTCATTTTATTTAATTAATATCAAGGGAAATAGGGAAGGGAAAAATTTAAAAGGAAAGGGTATAAAATATATACTGAATAAAATATAAATATATAAATCATTGTTTAAATATTTATTAATTGAATTTATATTCTAATAAATCTATAAAAAATAAATAGAGGGAAAATGGAGGGAGATGAATGGATTAATTGTGAATGAAAAATTGAATTAACAGTGTCTAGTATATTTTTTATTGCAGATCTAGCAGCTGGCATTCTCCAGGATTTCTTGTTCAGTGATGATCGGCCAAAGTACATGAATTACGGCGCAATCGGCAGCATAATCGGTCATGAAATAGCTCATGGATTCGATGATCAAGGGCGAAAATTCGATAGATCGGGGAATTTTGTTAATTGGTGGACGCCTGCAGCAGAGAGTGAATTTCTCGGAAGAACTCAGTGTCTCATTGATCAGTATGGAAACTACACAGTGGGAGAATCGAAAATGAAAGTAAGAGGTGATAATTTAATTATCTCAATTATTATTCAGCCGTATTTATTTAAATATAATTGTGAATAAAATTGTGTTTTGTGATAATTGATAAATGACAATTTTGTAATTATAATTTTTGATTCGCAGTTGAATGGGGTGTACACGCAAGGGGAAAATATAGCAGACAACGTTGGCTTCAGGGTAGCTTATTTGGCTTACAAGCAGTGGTCCATCAATGAACAGGAGAAAATTCTCCCTGGATTGTCTTACACTCCCCAACAAATGGTTTGGATTAGTCTAGCTAATTGTTGGTGCACAGCCTATCACCCTGAATCGCTTGAGACGTACGTCAGCAGTGATGAACACAGCCCTGGAGAGTTCCGAGTCCTGGGGGCACTCTCCAATATTCCGGAGTTTTCTGAAGATTTTCAGTGTCCCCTCGGCTCCAAAATGAATCCAAAACACAAATGTGTCCTGTGGTAATTACTGTTTCTACTGGTGTTCCCGTGAAATCCTCCGATTTTTTTTTAAATTGAAATAAAAACATGTGTCTATTATCTACAGAAAATTATCAAAATAATTTTCTCATCAACATTGAATCGAAGTCAATGGTGATAAACAGTATAAATAATAATAATATAAATAATAATTGTTAATAAATAATTTAGAAAATATGGAGAAGATAATTTATTAATTAATCACTCTGTCTTCCATTTTCTGGTGTTTAATGTCTCCTCAGAAAATCCCGGAATACACAATTACAAAACAATAAATCCTCCATTTCTGTCATTAAATAAATGATTACATAATAGTTCTCATTAACGCGAGATTATCCTGGATCATTCGGTTTGCGTCACACCGATTAGAAAAGACAAATAGAAAAGTTGTAATAGTGTAAAATCCGGTATTCGTTGAATTTATCGTTGCAATTGGGTAAAGCCCAACAAAACTGACGGACACGTCACAGATTAAACATGACTGTACTTTACCGATATCTAGTCGTCTCTCTACGATTTGCAATCAGTGCCAACAGTGATATCAAGCTGAGAAGAGCCTCTCAGTCTCTTCGAGGCGAATTTAACGCTCAAACATGTGTAGATCGACTACCAAATGGTTTTCAATATTTATTATTATCGGTGAGTTTTGCAAAATCAGGGAAAAACAAAATATATTCATAAATAAAACATCCCGAGACTTGCGATAACACCAGGATCAGGGGTTGCCAGAAAAAAATATATTTTCGTACTGATAACTGAATTTTCTGCGTACATTAACATACCACGAGGAAATTCTAGAGGAATAAGTGCCCCTGGAATAACCGGTTGAGTGTCCTTGAACCCAGTTTCCTGTTGTTTAAATGATTTATTGACAGATGACAAATTATTACCTCATAATAGCGGTTTCCAATGATTTATTCATTTGATGGTGAAGTATCTGTTGTTTCAGGAATTATTTTGGGGGTCGCAGGTGAAACATCGGCTGCAGGAGTGCCGGGCTCGTGCAGGTGAGCCTTTCCGGTGGATTTTCGTGTATAATTTTACAAGATTATAATTATATCAGAGTTCTGGCGATCGTTACCTTCAAGAAATATCATGGAATAGCCGAAATAAATAAAAAGAACAACTCTATCAATAACCGATTTTTGTTTAAAATGTTTATATCTGTGCTATTAAATATTTCTTTCAGATTGGATCAATTCAGATGCAGCAATGGTGAATGCATAGCCAGTCACTTGCTGTGCGATGGAAAAGCAGAGTGTGCAGATGGGAGTGATGAGACTCGTCTTGAATGTTTGAATCCCAGGATCGCGTGTCCTGCGTATGCATTTCGATGTGATTACGGTGCCTGCGTCGACGGTGACGCTAAATGCAATAAAATAGACGATTGCATCGACAGAAGTGACGAGACACTGGCAGAATGTACAGAAGGTCATGTGATAAAACCTGCAAGCCGTCCCAATTGCACTTCCGATCAATTCCAGTGTGGAACCGGTCAATGCATCCACAGGACTCTAGTCTGCGATGGATCCCCTGAATGTCCTGATAGATCTGACGAGACATTCACCATTTGTGGATCCTATCAGTAAGAATTTTTTTTTTGAAATAATCATTTTTTTTTAACGCTCTCTATTCTTTCAATTCAGTAGCATTTTTTTCGCGGTTACATTTCAGCCGATATCTCGAAACTGAAGGAACAAAGCCAATTTTTCGATAAAACATTTTTTGTAAAGAAGGATGACAGCTACAAAAAAGGTATCAATGAAAAAATCGTCATCTTTTTTGAATTCCGAGATATTGGCTAAAAACTGGCGGGGATGAAAATTCACTTCTCGATAATAAATCGATGAAGAATTATTTACAATTTTATTTATCATTTATTCATTTTTAATCTATAATAGAATAATTTTGTACGGATCAATTGGATAATTCCAGGTGCTTGCCATCGACCTTCAGGTGTGAATACGGTGCATGCATAGATGGAGATAAAAAATGCGATGGAGTGAGAAATTGTGCAGATGGTACAGACGAGGGTGAAGCTGCCTGCAGAGGTAAACAACCCCCAGGAGTCCCAGGCAGGGACACAACCACTTGGACCCCCCGGCCTTGGACCCCAGCACCTCCGACCCCGACCCCCCCGACTGCTTGTCCACCACCTCCAGGGATCCAGGATGGCACCTGGAGGGTCCACTCCTCCCAGTGTCCAAATCAAATCAACAACTGCGACCCTCCAGAGGGAATGCGCATGGACCCCGGAAGACGTTTAGTTTATTCTTGCAATAAAGGATATCGTTTAACGGATGATGCCGACGTCTACTGCGCCACCGGGGGAAAATGGTCGGACATTCCGCGATGTGAAGGTCAGAAAAATCCATATCAATTTGATTTTTCATTTAAATTTTTAATAGAGAATCTCCATCACGTCGAATATCGACTCATTATATTTTTTAATTATGAATTTGATTTATCATTTCGTTGTGGTATTTTTTTTATAAAAAATGTTAATCCCTTTTGGTCCAGAAATTCGATGCGAACCCCTTGACACGCCATCGACGAGAGCTGATTGCACTCTGAATGGTGAATACAGATCTTGTGGAGTACCAGTGCTACCAGGGACTCAAGCACAATTATCCTGCCGGAGTGCTTATCGCCAAGAGGATACCTTCTGGCAGAACAATCGTGTCGGCTGCAACGCCCAAGGGCAGTGGGAACCACAACCAATAAAATGCATTCCAGGTCCGGTTGTTATCAACATTCATGTCAATGGAACTACTTTAACTATTGATAGTATTTCGACTGGGAGCTGTAATGTCACGAAGATTGTGGAGATATATCCAGATAAAGTTGTGGTTTATGGGGAACGGGATGTTAATGATAGACCTGATATCGACGTTAGGGTCGGATAGGATTGATCTAATTTTTTATTATTGAACGCCGCATGAAATGGGAATGGAAATGCTTGGAAAATGGCTTGGAAAAATGGTTCACTTCGTAGGAACAGTTTAATGCAAGTTGGAATTAATTTGGAGGGGTCAAATCGTTTTAATAATTGTTTAAAAATGCGAGGTGGAGGCGTCGCCATCTTGACAAACGCTAATCATTCAAAATGGCGATTATACATCAATACTCAATAAGAAAATAATTGATGAGAAGTTTTCAACTTGCAAAAATGTTTTCCATTCTTCAGAAGAATATTCTTACAAATTAACTGCCCTGTCTAATGCTAAGTTTTGTGATTCTTGGAATTAATTCTTCCAAAGTACGTTTACGAGTCTGGATACTAAAAAATTTAGTGTAGTAATGTTACCAAAGTTGTAGTTGTTAAAAAAACACTCGATGTATACCTTATCTCCTATAAAATAGCGACGACTAAGAATAATTAATCCTTTAATTCGCAAGTGCAGTATTAAAAATGTATACAACGAGAATAGCAACTAGCTGTACAAGACTGGAAATCAAATGAATAAAGTTATGAAAAAAAATGTTGAGAATTTCGAGAATCTCGGAATACATTTGTATCTTTATTTTCAATTCAGCACAATAAAAATGCATTAATCAATCTTGCAACTTGAAGGATAAATTATCAACACCACGATTAAAAATTTCTCAGTAAAGTCCACAGCAATAAAAAAGGACTCAGAATTACATAAAACGCTTCAACATTCTTGCAAAATTCCAATTGACTCCTCACGTACTTTCCACAATATTATTTCAATGATTCACAATTCGAGTGAACCAGATAAATTTCTAAATAGTAAATTTAATGAATAAATTGCAGTGTGTGGAATTACACGTTCGAAAGGAGTGAAACCCCTGGTAGTGGATGGATTTGTGCCGAATATAACAGATTTTCCCTGGCATGCGACCCTATACCAAACGGAGAATGACCCATTAGTAAAAAAATTCTTCTGTGGAGCTACCGTAATAACAGAAGACTTGGTGATAACCGCCGCTCACTGCATATTCGATGAATCAATTAAAAAGCCAAAAAATCCGACGAATTTGTTCATTTCAGTGGGAAATGTCTACAGAGATTACGACGAGGAGTACCCGCCATACATAGAAGTCAGAAAAGCGAGAGTTAGTGAAGAAAAAAGTAAAAATAAATTTCTACATCAAGGAGATAAACCGGTGTCCTTACAATTTCGATAAATATCGATTGATCCATCAATCCTAGAGACAACTATCATAAGACCTTTTTTGTCTTAAATTTAATTCGCTATAAAAAAGTTCCTGAACTTTTTCACCTAAAATCGATAGTTACCGGGATAAATCGATGCTTACCGAAAAAATCGGCCGTCGACTTTATCACTTGGTTACCGATTTCATCAGAATGGGATAAATATTGACGGATTGTTCACAGGTGATAAACATCTTCATGAATTGTGATTATCAAGGATACGATGGGTGGCACAATCACGACATTGCGATCCTTCAAGTGAGGCCTTCTCTCAATTTTAAATCTTACTTCGTACCGATCTGTCTCGACACGATTGCAAGAACTCATGCCATTGATCTGGGAACCAACGGACAGGTCGCAGGATTTGGTAGAACAGCACTAGGACCTTCCAGTGCAATTATTCGGGCCCTATCTGTCCCAGTGGTGCCTAAATATAAATGTATCGAACAGGCTGACAAAGTCAAAGGCAGAAAATTCATAACTCCGGATAAATTCTGCGCTGGATACACGAATGGTGGATTAAAAAAAAAATCGAATTATTCTATAATAATTAATTCATAGAATTCTGTATAGAATATTTCGTTTTTATTATTTTTTCAGGCTCTGCTGTCTGTAATGGAGACAGTGGGGGTGGATTGACATTCGAGACAAATGGATTATCGTACCTTCGGGGTATTGTGAGCAGTGGGATTGGGATAAATGATACTGATCTTCAAGCTACTTGTGATCATACGAAATACGCCATATACACAGAAGTCGCGGAACACATACCCTGGATACAAGATATTATGTACAAAGTAGAACACAGACAATCCATCGGTGAATGTCACAGTGCCGAGGCAAATATTGACTGGCTCAATGGATAAATCATTCACATCTCAGAATTCTTGAATTTTTCAATGAAATTTAAAATAATTCCCAAGTTTCTTTGCAAAAAATCTAATTATATTTTCACTCCTTGATCATCACACAGTTAAATAGATAAAAATATTGACAATCATTAAAAATATGTCCTAAACGTACGGTCTATCACTTGATTTTCCTCCCGCATCAATTCTTCCTAGGAAATCTTTGAGATTTCCGCTCGTGGTCTCGAAGAATTTGGGATGGACGTCGGTGGTGGTGGAACGTCTGTAATCAGAACATCAGGTCTATTCACAGAATCACAATGACCCCTTGAAAATAATTTTTAAAAATTACCCTCAAGAAGAAGTGAGTGCAGCTCTTTCTCCAGGTCTGGCAGCTCCGCATCTGGAACATTTGGGAACGATTTGTCGTTCGAGCTCGAGTTGAGGAGATCATTGAGCTCCTGTTCAAGCTCAAGGTCAGAGTCATTGATTTTCAGGTTTTCAGATAGAGTTGATTGGACATCATGGACTTCTCCGACGGCCTAGAACAGAATAAAAAAAATTCAAAAATGTCCAGAGACAAAGATTTATTTTTTTCTCTTTGAAAAAATGTGGTTGAAAAATGATATCGAAATATATGTTGTATATCTTACTTCAATCATATCGTCCATGGTGTCCCTGGCCGTGATTTCATTGAGCCCAGATTTCTCGAAGCCCTTGAGGATGTCCCTGCCCTTTCTGTAAGCCTCCAACACCTCATTATTCGATCTAGCATCATGAATACTTGATATCAGAGTGTGGAGATTGTGGAGGGTGCCAGCATGCTTTTCAATCCTCTTATCGAGCTCTCTCTTCTTCCTGACGTACGTTTTTGCGAGCTCCTTGAGTCCACTGTCGAGGGATCCCTTAGCCTTCACCAGAAGGGCATTCCTCTCCTTCTCCAGGCTCTCAATTTTCTCCAGGAGTAATCGCTCGCTGTCCTTCAGCTTGAAGAGGCCCTCCTCAGCCTCTGACAAATTACTGACACCCATTGGAGATATTTTCAGGAGGCACTCCCATTTCTCGTGATGATGGGGCACCCCCAGGCCTCCTTTCTTCAACCGCCCCAGCCACAGCAGTGCCAATTTGACATTCTCTTCGGTAATGTTTTTACTTTTTGTCTTCTCGGAACATTTATTCGTTATCTCTGGCACTGAGAGTATCAGATCCTTCTCGACATTCGATAAACTTAGGATCACCTCAGATAATTCTTTGATTGTGGGAATGTGGATGTATTTTATATCTGGATTCGAGACGTTCGGGATGAAGTAGTTCTTCAATTTTGAGAAGGACCACACCATCGGCCTCTTGACCATTGTATTCACTGCCCATGAGCCCCACGTTGCATTCTGCGCTTCCAAAAACGAGTCCAGGGTGATGATTTCGCTTTTTCTGCAATTTGAAGGATAATTTGATTTTTTTATTTCGATTGGAAGAATTGTATTCCCAAATTTGACACTTCTTATCTCGATATTTACTGATAAAGCTCTTCTACGACTGTTGACAGGCACAACGGTGTCCTTCCCTTCCTCTTGAAGATGGTGGACAACTGAAAAACTGAGAATGTCACCTGCGCATTGTATCCCAGATAATTAACCAGCAGAGAATCCCAGAACTTGAACTTCGAGTCCCAGTCCTGGGGATTCACCGAGCGATTCCTGAATTCTGCGAACATCGAGTTCATCCTCTCGTCGTTGAACCAAGCATCGGGCATTAAGTCCCTCGGAAGAGGGTGTATCTCCTGATTACTCGACATTTCTCTAATTTTTTATCGGTAATTATGGCAAATTAAAAATTGAAATAACCTAATATTCAGACTTCGATGATTCAACACTCATGACAACACGAATTCACCAGACAATCGGTATTCGAAAATATAGGAACAACATCAGATCATGACAATTGTCTTCTGGATCATGGAAAATCAGGGCTAACTACGTCTCACAGCTCAGAACAAAAATAAAACTCAATTTGAATGACCATTGAAAATTCATTTATGGATATCTATCGCCATCTACAAAACCAAAGAGGATTGAGTAAAGTAGAGGCTCAGTTCTGGGGGTTTGAGTAACCCCAGCGTCATCGTAGTACTGCACCCCAAGAGAGGGAGGGCGCAACACGCAATGCTGGGGTGTCCATCAAGTCGAGGGGGTGAATTTTATTTTCTGCGGTATGAATGCTTTTTTTTTTATTTATTTAACTGAAATTTAGCCGACTGTAGAACGTGCGGAAAGGGGAAACCACATCTTGTGGAATTTCAATGAAAAAAAATATTCAATATATTGAATATATACCACTAATGAATATATATTTTTAAAGGAGCGCGTTATCCTAGCGGTAACGTGCTCGACTGGCACGCCGGCGACCCGGGTTCGATCCCACGAACATTAATTTTTTTTTTATTTAAATAATTCCTATTTTTTTTTTTGTAAATGGCTAATTATTGATAATAATTAATGGAAATATCGTTTAAAAACGGAATATTTGGAAACCGAAAAGATATCCAGTAAAATCGAAAAATTAGCAATTTTTTAAAACGATACTTTTGCAATATATATACTCCTAATGAAATTTTATTATTATAATAGTATGTTATCCTAGCGGTAACGTGCTCGACTGGCACACCGGCGACCCGGGTTCGATCCCACGAACATTAATTTTTTTTTAATTTAAATAATTCCTATTTTTTTTTTTTTTAATGGCTAATTATTGATAATAATTAATGGAAATATCGTTTAAAAACGGAATATTTGAAAACCGAAAAGATATCCAGTAAAATTGAAAAATTAGCAATTTTTTAAAACGATACTTTTGCAATATATATACTCCTAATGAAATTTTATTATTATAATAGTGTGTTATCCTAGCGGTAACGTGCTCGGCTAGCACGCCGACGGCCCGGGTTCAATCCCGCCGTCATT